GACTGACTGACTGACTGAGTTTAGTTTTTGCCGCTTTTAGCAATATTCCAGCAATATCACGGCGGGGGACGCCAGAAATGGGCTTAACACATTGTGCCCATGTGGGGAATCGAACTCGGGTCTTTGGCGTGACGAGCCAACGCTTTAACCACTGGGCTACCCCACCGCCCCCTGATCAGTTCTGATGAATGAGTTGCTGATCACAGTACTGATGAATGAGTTGCTGATCAGTACTGATGAATGAGTTGCTGATCAGTACTTATGAATGAGTTGCTGATCAGTACTGACGAATGAGTTGCTGATCAGTACTGATGAATGAGTTGCTGATCACATTAGCAATGAATGAGCTGCAGGTTTTGCCTTGCTTGGCATCAGTTTCCCATGTCAGCTACAACATCTGTTAAGTATGAGATGACAGCAAGGGTTTTATGTGGCTTTGCCTTGTTTTGCAATGATTGCTATCATTTAAGCTGTGATGTCTTGGTGACTTGTATTTTCCCTGGTGCCGTCTCTGATGTCTACTGATTGTCAAGGTGACAGTAATTACATTTCATCTCCTAGATGCTCTATATAATTACCCCATTAATGTCTTCAGTACTGATTAGTGGCGGGGCTAGACTTCCATTAACCAACTGATGCTAACTTGATGCAGCAGGTGTCCGTAAATGTACAAGATTAATAATGTACTTGTAATGTTAGGGGAATATGTCTCGACAAGTACATACGGTTTTTAAAAATATATTTGTGATTTTTTAAGGAATTAATTATCTATTTTCAAATTTATCTTCTCAAAAAAATTCATATTAGCTGCATCATATAAGTCATCAATGTGAAATATGATTTAGTCTGATACAACATATCATATCCACAATGGTTTTCTTTCTCTACTGCAATACACAACAAAGTCAGGAATCAAATATACAATAAAAATATATTAACTACACAGGACTCTTTGTGTAATATATCATCACAGTCATGTTCTCAAGATCCTTCTGGATTCATTATTCTGAAAAAATACTTTGCTTTCTTTATGCTGTCAGCTATATTCAAATATGTCACAAAACCTTAGTACAGATGGGTCACGTTCTTGTCAGATGAGAATAGTTGAAACTTGTTTTCCCTTGAAAGGAATTGGGAGGTGTCAGTGTCACTTTGGCCTTGGGGAAATGTAAATCCATTACCTTTGAAGTCATTTAGTTGCTCCTACCATTAGCATACAATGACAAAACTGTTCAGTACAAGCTGGTTAACAGGTGTATGCTGTGAATCATGTGTGGTAACATGCTGTTGTTTGTGGTAAAGCTTGTGAAGATCATATTTAGTGATATGCTGTTTGTGTGTGGTGAAGATCATGTTTAGTGATATGCCATGTGTGAGTAGTAAAGCTTGTGAAGATCCTTTTTAGTGATATGTTGTTTGTGCATGATAAGCTTGTGAAGATCATGTTTAGTGATATGCCGTTTGTGTCTGGTGAAGATAATGTTTAGTGATATGCCATGTGTGAGTAGTAAAGCTTGAGAAGATCATGGTTAGTGATATGCCATGTGTGAGTAGTAAAGTTTGTGAAGATCATGTTTAGTGATATGCCGTTTGTGTCTGGTAAATCTTGTGAAGATCATGTTTAGTGATATGCCGTTTGTGTGTGGCAAAGCTTATGAAGATCATGTTTAGTGATATGCCATGTGTGCATGGTAAAGCTTGTGAAGATCATGCTTAGTGATATGCGATGTGTGAGTAGTAAAGCTTGTGAAGATCATGTTTAGTGATATGCCGTTTGAGGTAAAGCTTGTGAAGATCATGTTTAGTGATGTGGAGTTTGTTTGTGGTAAAGCTAGTTAAGATCATGTTTAGTGATATGCCATGTGCGAGTAGTAAAGCTTGTGAAGATCATGTTTAGTGATATGCCGTTTGTGTGTGGTAAAGCTTATGAAGATCATGTTTAGTGATATGCCATGTGTGCATGGTAAAGCTTCTGAAGATCATGTTTTGCAATATGCCGTTTGTGTGTGGTAAAGCCAGTGAAGATCATGTGTGGCGATGTGTCTAGTGTAAGGTAAAGCTAGTGAAGATCATTTGTGGTGATATGTCTAGTGTAAGGTAAAGCTAGTTAAGATCATGTGTGGTGATGTGTCTAGTGTAAGGTAAAGCTAGTGAAGATCATTTGTGGTGATGTGTCTAGTGTAAGGTAAAGCTAGTGAAGATCATTTGTGGTGATGTGTCTAGTGTAAGGTAAAGCTAGTGAAGATCATGTGTGGTGATATTTCTGCTGTGTCTGGTGAAGGTAATGAAGATCATGTGTGGTGACATGCTACTGTTGTAGTGTTACGCTAATCTCAGACTTGTAGACTAGGTTTAAGGGGTCAACCAAATTAGATGGCAAGCATTATAGTTGCTGAAGAGACACTATAGAATGGGTGCTTGGATCCTAGACACACTATAGAATTGGTACCTGGATCCTACACACACTATAGAATGGTACCTGGATCCTACACATACTATAGAATGGGTACCTGGATCCTAGACACACTATAGAATAGAATTTGTACCTGGATCCTAGACACACTATAGAATGGGTGCCTGGATCCCCGACTCCCTATAGAATGGGTGCCTGGATCCTACACACACTATAGAATGGGTACCTGGATCCTACACACTATAGAATGGGTGCCTGGATCCCGACACACTATAGAATGGGTACCTGGATCCCTGACACACTACGGAATGGGTACCTGGATTCCAGACACATTATGGAATAGGTACCTAGTCCCAAGTCTCAGAGTAGAATGTGTTCCTGATACCAAAATGCAGAGTTGAATGGGCACCAGGTACATACATGCTCTTCATTAAGTACATGTCCACTATTAGCTGCAGTGCACGACAAATATTCACAGCCTTACTCCATTTAATGTTACTGTTACTATGAGTAATTGACTATATGTCTTCCAATGGTGTACACAAGGTGTATATGACATAGTAATGTCATGGTGCCCTTGTGGAGGGTCACAGATACCAGGTCATCAAGGGCTGAGTTACAGCCATACACCTGTCAACTGAAGAGTACAACAACATTGACTCAGTTGGTAGTTTTGAAGATTTAGATCATCCCACAAATACACCTGTGTTCATTGTAAACATTGTGATGACATCATGCTGCCACAGTTGTCTGGCTATAATCACTCGAACTGTACCCTTCAGTAGAGGATTAAGGCCAGAGCAATGAAGGATTGATGTGGCACAGTCTTCTCCCTCTCTTGTGTTCTCCGGGATCTCCAGTACACTAGGGACATGCGGTAGCCTAGCGGTTAAAGTGTTCACTTGTCACGCTGAAGACCCACATGGGTACAATGTGTGAAGCCCATTTCTGTTGTCCCTCGCCATCATATTGCTGGAATAATGCTAAAAGCGACGTAAGACCCAACTCACTCACTTACTCACTCACTCAAGAACACCATGCCCGTCATCCCCATGGATCTCAGAGGTGTACACTACCCTAAGTAAGTGGGAGTTCACAACACCTCAGGCTTGTTTTATATGGAGATAACTGGCTGTAGATCACATCCAGTATTGATCATTGTTGAGGTCATCACATCCAGTGTTGATCATTGTTGAGGTCATCACATCCAGTGTTGATCATTGTTGAGGTCATCACATCCAGTGTTGATCATTGTTGAGGTCATCACATCCAGTGTTGATCATTGTTGAGGTCATCACATCCAGACAGTGTTGATCATTGTTGAGGTCATCACATCCAGACAGTGTTGATCATTGTTGAGGTCATCACATCCAGACAGTGTGTTGATCATTGTTGAGGTCATCACATCCAGACAGTGTTGATCATTGTTGAGGTCATCACATCCAGACAGTGTTGATCATTGTTGAGGTCATCACATCCAGACAGTGTTGATCATTGTTGAGGTCATCACATCCAGACAGTGTTGATCATTGTTGAGGTCATCACATCCAGACAGTGTTGATCATTGTTGAGGTCATCACATCCAGACAGTGTGTTGATCATTGTTGAGGTCATCACATCCAGACAGTGTTGATCATTGTTGAGGTCATCACATCCAGACAGTGTTGATCATTGTTGAGGTCATCACATCCAGACAGTGTTGATCATTGTTGAGGTCATCACATCCAGACAGTGTTGATCATTGTTGAGGTCATCACATCCAGACAGTGTGTTGATCATTGTTGAGGTCATCACATCCAGACAGTGTTGATCATTGTTGAGGTCATCACATCCAGACAGTGTTGATCATTGTTGAGGTCATCACATCCAGACAGTGTTGATCATTGTTGAGGTCATCACATCCAGACAGTGTTGATCATTGTTGAGGTCATCACATCCAGACAGTGTTGATCATTGTTGAGGTCATCACATCCAGACAGTGTTGATCATTGTTGAGGTCATCACATCCAGACAGTGTTGATCATTGCTGTTGTCATCAGACATTGTTGACTATTCCTTGTATTCTCAACTCAAGTAGATCCTTCCATGGATCTGATCATGTAGCAGTATAACACATCTCTCAATCATGCTTGGTGACTTGGTTCAATGTGTGTCATCATACCCACACAGCATGAATTGTGTGCTCACAGTATCGACCACACGTGTCTGGTTCAGTTTCTATCACCTACAGGCCACAGTCATATGGCTGGACTATAGCTGAGCATGGCTTTCACCAACCCACAAACAACTCATTATTGGAGTCATGCATTCCCTCAGCATGCCTTTGTTAACAGAGCTAAAGTATTTGGGGATTTTCAGTTCTATTTCATTTTATATGCTGCTAAACTAGATGTGAACTATGGTCTGAGACTCTCCCCTAGAGACTCCCCTGTTGGTGAGGTGGAGGTCAGGTGTGCAGTACCTCCAGAAGAATCACCATGAGGTCAGTTGGTCCTGGTGCCACTGAAGAACTATTCCTGGCACTGTGGATGCATCTTAAAGTTAATTGTGGAACTGTATGTACATGTATTTTAATATCTCAGAATCTTTAGGTTACAGTGGCATATTATTATTTGTTATTCAAATTTTCCCACCCACATCTATCCTTTGATCGTTGGGTTGCATTTTTTGGTAATGAACAGGTTACTTTGTTTTAAGTAATGACAAAGTGAAAACTAGACGGGCAAATATTGGCATATGGATAACCAAAATCTAAATCATAACCTGCAAAGTCTTATCTATTTTATTTGGATTTACTAGTATGCAAGATTTCAGTCTGTCGTGAGACAATATCTCGATAACGTCTCTAGTGTCTCCAATTAGAAGAAAATATTCACACAGAATAACAGAATCTATCTCTCGTGGCTTGTGTATGGTTTCTTCAATATCATCATTTCTTCTGGCATCAGGATATGTCTAAGCTCACATGTCTGGTGGACACTGAATCCTGGTGATGCTGAAGAGGCTGCAGCGGGTCTTCATCTACAATGCAAATCATGACATGTGATAAATTGCAGTAATGTGTAGAGACCTTTGGTTACCCTGGAGACAGTATGGTTATAATGTATTATGAGGGTTCCTTAATGTTGTAATCATCAGCGTGCGTTACAGACACGTGATCAGGGACGTCCATGTGTCAAGGTCATTAGTCTGCGATGTCCATGACAGAGCTGCAAAACCTTTGGGAAACTGTCAACAATGTGACTCCGCTTTCTTCAGGGATCATATCAAGAGCTGTAGCCTCCTTTTAATGCTCCTATGCATGTAAAATCATGGACAAGTCATTTTGGACTTGATTTATGTAATAATCAATGGGTTTAATTTGCAAGTGTATTCATATTTTGTTACATCAAATATTTGATGTTTGAGAGGACAAAGGTTTGATTTGATACTAAAACATATCGGTTGTTTTATGTATATTGTAATATTGATACTTGATTCTCATAAAAGTGATTGCAAAATCTATAGGCTTCTATAAGTAATCTGGGTGTCTTTGTGTGGAAAATATTCTCATTTGTCAGTATTTTGACAGAAGAAATTGGCAGTATGGGCTAAGTAATTAGGAATCTGTCAACTATTCTGTCATATGCAACTAAATGACAATCTATGAAGAATTGTGTTTATGTTTCCCTGAGGAAAGTTAATGTCCCAGATCCTAAGTGAGTGAGTTTCAAGAGGGTTACTCTCTTTCTTGCCTCTAACCAAAATAAGTGCAGACTTTAGATGTTATTCCAACCCGCCCTGGACATTTCTGGAGACTGTAACCCAAATGACCGGTTTAGTTGAATGAATTTAGTTTTACGTCGCTTATAGCTATATTCCAGCAATATCACTGCCTTTGTGGGGGATCAAACCCAGGTCTTGGACGTGATGAGGTAATGCTTTAACCACTAGGCTACCCCACCACCCTGTAACCCAAATGAAATGAGTCCCTTCACAAGAGTGAAAAGCATGACACAGGGTTCCTGTCTAAACAGCTAAAAGGACAAAGCTTACATACCAAGTGTAACCAACCATGGAATCAGTTTATTAGTCTGTCTCACAGTCCCTGAACCACATTATTTTCCCTCCTGCCAAGGCCTCCATGCAATGTTAAAGCCCTAAATGAAACAAGTCTAGATTTCCTCAGGTTCAGGTTTGGACTCCCCTGGGGCACTTTTTCTATTTAAATGGGTTTGTTTGTTGCTATCAAATTTATATATATTCAGAGACTAAGCGTTAGTGTATCAGTTTATGAACCAGCAACCTTTTCACAGGCACAGTGTGAATAGTTTGCCGTTATCACTGAAACTTAGTATTCTAGTATCAGTTATAAAACATATACAAAAACAACAAGCTGCTGCTTTAAATATATAGCTTATCAAATGCAAGTTAAATTTAGAAGTCAGCATTGAGTAAATAAACATGTGAGCTAATGTTATGATTTCCAAGCATTAGGTATGGCCACACATGCATTCCACCATTGAATGATGCCTTAGTTTGATGTGTAATATTTATTATCATGTTGCAGTTGCTTATTGATGCTCCTGGTGTTGATCACTGGATTATCTGGTCCAGACTTGTTTATTTACAAACCCCTGCCATACTGCTGGAATATTGCTGAATGCGGTGTTAAACAACAAACAAACAAGAATCCAAAACAAAACCTATTCAGCATTCTGATCCAGAACCCTGTCCATCTCATTCTATATCAGTGGTTAAAGTGTCCGCTCGTCATGCTGATTTCCCGGGATGTCCCACATGGGTACAATGTGTGAAGCCCATTTCTGTTGTCCTCCGCCATGATATTGCCGGAATATTGCTAAAAAGCCCCGTAAAACTAACCTCACTCATTCCATATCAACACGTGGATGATAGATTGACAGAAAAACAAATGAAATGTAGTACAGGCTACCAATGAAAAGCTGAGTTATTCATAGACAAACTGTAGTTCCAAAGAGCGTCACAGAACAGTAAATACCCTCACTCCAGTGTGTTGGATGGGATAGAAATATACCTTCACTGTGTGCTCACTGGTGTTACCAGCCTCTCATTTGTTCACAGGAAATAGGTCCGTGAAGATCCGGGTTCTTCAGCAACCCATGCTTGTCGTAAGAGGCGACTAACAGAATCGAGTGGTCAGGCTCTCTGACTTGTTGACACAAGTCATCATATCCCATTTGCATAGATTGATGTTCATGCTATTGATCACTGGATTGTCTGGTCCAGACACAGTTATTTACAGACCGCTGCCATATAGCTGGAATATTGCAGCGTAAAACAACAAACCAAATCACAGGAAAGATGTTACCTTCGTATGACTGGAGAAAGCAAAGCCAGTCTCTGATATATGCCTTGAGTTGGACGTGTTAGAATCAACAAGGTGTTCAACGATCTTCCCCCACAATGATCTTCGTGCTTCAGCAGGCATGAGTTAATCTTGAGTATGAATTCCCGTCATGTAAGTATGAAGATTGCTTTTTGGACCAAGGCTATTTCTACCAAGCAATTTTACCACTGTAAGTGTTGTAATGAACAGGGCCCTGGATGGTAGGAGGTAATTTGGTGTGGAAACCGGTTAATAATTAGCAGTTCAATGTAGGGATGATCATTTAAGTATAGAGAGTACAAATTGTTTCGACTGTGTTGTTTGCAAACAATTATTTAAAGCCAGTCTGTCTTCCAATTCCATTACTGCTGGGCGTGCATAAATTTTCAACTGGGATTAGGTGATGGAGACAATTGCTAGCTGCTGGGGCCAGTTTATTGAAGGTGGATATGGTTTACTGAAGGAAAGAGGTGGGTTACTGAAATTAGGGGCTGGTTTATTGAAGGTGGATATGGTTTACTGAAGGAAAGGGGTGGGTTACTGAAATTAGAGGCTGGTTTATTGAAGGTAGATATGATTTACTGAAGGAAAGGGGTGGGTTACTGGAATTAGGGGCTGGTTTATTGAAGGTGGATATGGTTTACTGAAGGAAAGGGATGGGTTACTGGAATTAGGGGCTGGTTTATTGAAGGTGGATATGGTTTACTGAAGGAAAGGGATGGGTTACTGGAATTAGGGGCTGAATGAAGGTTGGCGATGAATTTACTCTAGATGGGCGAAGACATTACTCAAGGTTGGGGATGATGTAACTGAAGATGTTGGATGACTTACTGAAGGTCGGGGATGACTTACTGAAGGTAGGGAATGACTTACAGCAGGTGGGGGATGACTTACTGAAGGTTGGGGATGACTTACTGAAGGTAGGGGATGACTTACAGCAGGTGGGGGATGACTTAGTGAAGGTTGGGGATGACTTGCTGAAGGTGGGAAATGACTTACAGAAGGTAGGGAATGACTTACAGCAGGTGGGGGATGACTTACTGAAGGTGGGAAATGACTTACTGAAGGTAGGGAATGACTTACGGCAGGTGGGGGATGACTTACTGAAGGTGGGAAATGACTTACTAAAGGTGTGGGATGACTTACTGAAGATGGGAGATCACTTACTGAAGGTGGGAGATGACTTAATGACTTACTGAAGATGAGAGATGACTTACTGAAGATGGGGGATGACTTACTGAAGGTGGGGGATGACTTACTGAAGATGGGGCATGACTTACTGAAGGTGGGAGATGACTTGCTGAAGGTGGAAGATGACTTGCTGAAGGTGGGAGATGACTTGAAGGTGGGAGATGACTTACTGAAGGTCGGGATGACTTTCTGAAGGTGGGAGATGACTTATTGAAGGTCGGGATGACTTTCTGAAGGTGGGGGATGACTTACTGAAGGTGGGAGATGAAGGTGGGAGATGACTCGCTGAAGGTGGGAGATGACTTGCTGAAGGTGGGAGATGACTTACTGAAGGTGGGAGAACTGGTACTGAAGGTGGGAGATGACTTACTGAAGGTGGGGGATGACTTGCTGAAGGTGGGAGATGACTTACTGAAGGTGGAAGATGACTTGCTGAAGGTCGGGACGACTTGCAGAAGGTGGGAGATGACTTACTGAAGGTGGGAGATGACTTACTGAAGGTGGGAGATGACTTACTGAAGGTCGGGAGGACTTTCTGAAGGTGGGGGATGACTTACTGAAAATGGGAGATGACTTACTGAAGGTGGGGGATGACTTTCTGAAGGTGGGGGAAGACTTACTGAAAGTGGGGGATGACTTACTGAAGGTGGAGGATGACTTACTGAAGGTGGGTGATGACTTACTGAAGGTGGGAGAAGACTTGTTACTTCCAGTATTGATCGTAGAGTAGAGTGGTTATTTCCAGTGTTCACTTGTCACACCAACAGCCCAGGTTTGATTCCTCACATGGCTGCAGTGGCCCATATTCAATTACTGACATGCAACCATGTTGCAGCTGCAACATTGATGACTACAGCTCAAGACAACGAACCAACCAACCATTGCTACAGGAAACTGTTGAGATGGCCCCCAGCTTTGTTGAGATGGATCAGTATTTGTCATGTAGTAAGATGCCACCTTGGTAACTCTACGACATTCCTCAGCTAACCATGTGTTATTCCATACCAGTAATTCCACGCCATGTCATTATATTGTTTTTCAGAAGCAGAATGAGCTTTTACAAATGTTAAAGGTCACATAGGTTTCAGGTTTCTCTGAAATAAATGGTATTGGTGATATGAAAATGGTTATTTTTAATGGAATCCTCAGTTTGAATGGTTTGTCTTTAGGTGTTCAGGCATTTTAACACAGCTGTGCATTTTTTCTTTGTACTTTTGTCATCGCAGTTGGTTTTCCTTTCAGTGGATTTCTGCTGAAAATGTCATGATGCCAGGATGAATAGATTGTTTTTGTTTATTGACTGTTGTGGAAATAAAGAGGTTGTTGTGTAAAGGTGCCTACCACAGGTTGGAAGAGGTAGTGAATGTTTACAAACAAATTGATGAATAATTTGTGTAAGGCAAGGTAATAGTAGTGTTCCGATTAATAGAAATAATAAAAGATTAATAGAAATAATCAAACGACCAAGCAATCTATGACATTTTCTCATAATCGAACACAAACGATTTTGGAACCACTGTAATAGAGTCTGAAATACTTGACGATGGAACATATCTAGGATGTTGTCAGGGCCTGAAAATGTGTTTAATTCTTAGAAAACTCACTTCACTTACTGAAAAGTCATGACTGAATATTTCTTGAGGACTGTTGGAAGTTTTTTTCATGATATACTAGTCATCACTTTAAAGTTGCTTCTTTTCCATCATTTTACATTGGATATGAAATTTGCAAATGCAGTTTGCACGGTTTCTAAATAAAACAAATAACAACCGAGAACCGAATGTTTTTCTTTATACTTATATGCAAAAACAACCTAAAGAGGAAAATTTAAAAAATGACGCTAACTAATTTTGTTTGAAGATTCTTTGTTGGTATTGAACCAGTCATCAACTGTGAGATTTCAGCCTATTCCCAACACTTAGCTAAGTAAAATATTACTGTTGTAAACACGGGCTAACTAGGCTGTTGTGGAGTAGGTCTGAGGTAAGGATAAGCGATGTCTTAGTTAATAATGTCATAGTAAAACAAGTATATGTTGACTGTGACATTGTTGTGGTATTGCTCGGTAGCACTGCGGTGGTGTTGCAGGGATGTAGCTTGCTGTGATGTTGCTGTAATATTGCTAGCTGTGGTATTGCTGTGATATTGCTAGCTGTGGTATTGCTGTGATATTGCTAGCTGTGGTATTGCTGTAATATTGCTAGCTGTGGTACCACTATTGTATTGCTGTACTATCGCTAGCTGTGGTACCGCTGTGATGTTATATTGCTGTCCCCGATGTTGCAATAATATTGCTGACTGTGATGTTGCTGTAAAGATTACCGACTGCTGTGCCTCATTCCGCTCACACCTCACCGTATTCCAGACTCTCTGCGGGGCGGCTTGAATACAAATCTGCTGGACAAGTTGTAAGTGGATAAAGCTTGCATGGATTATGAGTAAGTTAGGAAACTCCACCAGTAGGTCAAGTAACATTAACTGGTGTTCAAATTAGACAAAAGGATAGTCACCTTTATTCCTCACTATCTGGGCGCCAAAATTGTCAATATTTCGGTTATCTCAAAAGGTATCTTGTCAAGTGACATATTCAGTGAAGTGGGACAAATATAGTTGTCTGTATCTACAGTCGAGATCCTTATCACATCCTAGATATGCTAGTCTGGTGTGTTCCTCGCTGGGTCTGAAAACTTGTTGACATGAGGTGTACTTGAATCAGGTAACTTTTTCTTGCTTGTGTGCACCAGTTGTGTAGCTTAGTGGTTAAGGTGTTCGCTCATCATGCCGAAGATCCGGGTTTGATTCCCCACATGGGTACAATTTATGAAGCCTGTTACTGGTGTCCCCTGCTGTGATATTGCTGGAATATTGCTAAAAGCAGTATAAGTCAAAACTCATGCACTCACTCACTATGAAAGTACTATTGTAGAGGAGAAACTTTTTGGGGTTATCCCAATCGATTGAATAGTTAAGCATAGCGAAACAATATTTGACCAACCAGCACTGTAAGCCAAGCTGTGACATTCAATGGATCTTAATCTCAAAATAGGTCAGGTCTGTAACATGTGGTGTGGAGATAAATAAGACACTGTTTAGAAGTAAGCCTGGTTTATGCATCGCAAGTAAATAGCATAAAAGCTTAGATTTGATTTTCCTTGAACCTCTACAGATTTTAACACCTATGTTAAGCATATCTAGCACCTCTATAACTGTAAGGAACTACATGTACTATGACTACAGCTCTGGGCCCAAATTGTATAATATGCTGAAACTTTGCTGCAATAGTATAAACGGAAACAGTTTCTCAAGTTGTATGGTAGCAGTGAATCGGATAATTAAGTAATAAGTTTTCAAAAAATGCAAGTTAATATAGTAATCATACAGGTGGCAGTCAACAGCTAATTAAGATATACAGTGAAAAATAAGTGGTGATATGTTAACATATATATATTTTTCACAGTTAATGTACAATAGTTTCGGTGGTAATGGTTGTTAATGTTTCAGTACAGAAGATAGTGATTGCTAAAGAAAAATGCTACGATGCATAAAGATGTGAGCACTTTGGGTAACAAACCACCCATTCACTTTTGTCACACACCGCAACAAAATAAATACATAGGTTCGAAGAGGCAACTGCCCTTTTCCATTGTCCCTGCAATGATATTGATGGAATATTGCTAAAAACTGTGTGAACTTTCCTCTCTCACTCATTAGGCGAGCTTACCGATCTAGCCCCACCCACTTGAGAAGGAATGCACTCAAGCTCTTTTCAACCAGTTTCATTCAAGGCATTGAACCAATTGGGATTTATCAGATTTGTTCATATGACTGTCATAAATCAGTTATGGCCCTGACAGATTAACCATAGTCATGTAAAAGAGTCAGGTGTTCTCGAAGTTCTGTTAGCTAGTATATTAGTCAATACATCAAATAATTACAGGTCACCAACTGAAATGTGTCTTCAAGTTCCTCCCAGTATAAATGAGAGGTAAATGCATCTATTCTGTGGCAGTATGAATACTACTTGTATGGCGACAGCTGCAAGCAGTGAGTTCCAGGCTCCACACACCTGGACATTCACAATATCCATGTCAGTATTTGAGTTGTATATCAATAGATTGTAGACATTTATGATCTTCATAATAATAATCCCTAAAAAGTATTACTCCCAGATAAAAGCAAATCATTTTTAGCTGAATAGAATCTCATGTCATATTACACTCTGTTTCTCAGTAAATAATAGCATTGAAGAATAATTCCGTCATTCATAGCAAGCGTCACAGATCAGGCCAATGAACTCAATAGGCTAAGAATAGTGTTTACTGCGTGAATACGACCTTAGACACTGTGGGTCCGATCCGCACAGCAAACACTCTCTACAGTCAACTCAGACGAGGAAACGACACTGGTTTGTTGGTGGATGTGTCATGTGATGGACAGGGAGCGTGTAGCTGCTGCTGCTCATCTCATTGACTCCTAAGACCATGTTGATCTCCAGCTTGTGACGGTCATTGATCTGTTGACAAGACAGAGGCAATGATTAGATCTTGTTTGTGACCCCTGGGTCAGTCCAACTGTCACGTGGGCAGTCTGTGGGTAAGGAAGTGGGGAATCGGTAAGCTATGTATGTCAGTTGGGCACTGCAGGGTATGTCAGTTGGGCGCTGCAGGGTATGTCAGACTTTACCGGGATACCTTGGATACCTGTCAAAGACAGACTGTTGATATTACAGTAAGTCAATCACATTGGTACCTGTGTCTTGATCTTGTCAGTGTTAGGTTTTAGGTCATTTCTTTGGGTTTGAGGTTTGTGTCTCTCACATAATTCATCCATTAGAAGGTTTGTTTTTCACATGTATTTTTTCGCATTGTAGTCGTTTTGTTAGGGATACATATGAAAATAACATTTACCGTTGTGTTTGTTAGGCCGAACACACACACACACACACACACACACACACACACACACACACACACACACACACTCACTCACTCACTCACTCACTCACTCACTCACTCACTCATCACTCACTCACTCACTCACTCACTCACTCACTCACTCACTCACTCACTCACTCACCACTCTCACTCACTCACTCACTCACTCACTCACTCACTCACTCACTCACTCACTCACTCACTCACTCACTCACTCACTCACTCACCTCACCACTCACTCACTCACTCACCACACTCACTCACTCACTCACTCACTCACTCACTCCACTCACTCACTCACTCACTCACTCATCACTCACTCACTCACTCACTCACTCACTCACTCACTCACTCACTCACTCACTCACTCACTCACTCACTCACTCACTCACTCACACTGCCAAATGATGTGCTGTCAACCATATTTGGTATTCCAGATACCACTGTGGACCATACCTGAGTGAGAACCCCATAGTAAACAGTATTTATTGGCAATTTATTATGTATTCCGAGTAAGGTAAAGTGGACTCTATGGAACAGAGTTCACAGCAGAGATAACTGTTGGAGGGACACACAACTTTGCTAAAACTAATGTAAACATATATCAAAATGTCATAGGTTTAGTCTTTTAAATATACAATTTGTATTCAAATTTTCAATTATTTCATAAAATAAATAAAATTGATTAAAAACATTCTGTTTACATTATTCCCATCAACCACAATCCTATTGCCACTATTCACACGTAACTAACTAGTTGACAGGGAAAATGGATACGTATCTATACTTATCTCTTTAAATGTCACTTATCTCATAGCTGGATGATCACTGTTTTCGCAATGGAAGTAACAAGATCACACGAAACCACAGAGATGACAGGTCAAATATACATGTTCAAAATGTGTAGGGTAAAACCTGCAATAAAAATATCGTAATGCTAAACTATGTTTCTCTTGATAAAATAATAGTTCATGATGCTATTCTTCCAAAAACTGAGGGGCAAAAACTAGGGTAGCCTAGTGGTTAAAGCGTTGGCTCGTCACGCCGAAGACCCGGGTTCGATTCCCCACATGGGCACAATGTGTTAAGCCCATTTCTGGTGTCCCCCGCCGTGATATTGCTGGAATATTGCTAAAAAGCGGCGTAAAACTAAACTCAGTCAGTCAGTCAGTCCAAAAACTGCATTAAAATTTCTGTTATGCTATTGGGTATGTTTTAAGTAAATACCTATTAGAAGGGGATAAACGCGTGCACAGCTCATTGCTACTTCCGTCTCTGTTTACAAGACAAATACACACGGTAATCTTAATCCCTGCATACGATAAAATGCCTAGAAAAAAAAAATAGCCCTGAAAAGGTAAATCATCATGACTAGACGATGTTTAATTGCAAGTCTGACAGCTTCACTGACAAAGTTATTTTCTCTTCTTCATTCACAAGAAGCGATACGTAGTTATTGTACCACTGGGAAAAAAAGTTTGATGAAAGTGTCAGCTTTAGATAAGCCGACCTCTGTCTACAGAATACTTTTTTAGTCCTTTGGCTTATCTGCAGTCATACATGAACTCTTGTTTCCAGGTTGTGTAACAACAGGGTTAACTTTCCAGATTGGCTGATATTCTATATTTGATGAAGGATCAAGACAAGAAGATATAGGTATTTTGGCTTATATATAGGACATACTATTTTGATACAGATTTAAAGGATCAAGGTAATGCTTTGGCTTAACTATGTAATTGATTTGTCTACAGACATATACGCTTGCACCTACATAAACCTGTGACATGCCGCAGTGTGATAACACTATTGAAAACAGTATTTGCTTGCAAGTTATATCCAGGTCGGGTGGAGATCTCGCCCAGTACACTGAAGTAATAACAAGTGCATTTATTATGAGCTTTTTTCCATCCATTGCGGTTGCTCAGAGCACAGACAATCTGATCATTATGACCCTCGGATAACCCAAGCTGTCTGTGAGGCGATAGAAGATTAATAGTCACATGACTTTTCTCACTGGGTACCCATTTTCTGCTGGGTGAACAGAGACCATTTTGAACATACTCACTTGCCTTAGGTGAGACCACATGTATCACATGTGCTTCTATGATGAGAGATCATTTGTGTTTGTGTACAAGTTGTGAATAGTATGATACCAGAAGGAAAAGATCTGGGTTGGAATTGGTTTTCAGCAACCAATGTAAGAGGCGACTATAGGGATCGGGTAGTCAGGCTCGCTGTCTTGGTTGACACATGTCATCATATCCCAATTGCCTTGATCGATGCTCATGCTGTTGATCACTAGTTTGCCTGGTCCAGACTCGATTATTTACATATTGCTGACCAAACCAGAAGGAAAAACTAGCCCCAGGCAACAGTGTAGACTCTTCTGAGTAAATTAGGCCTACCTTTCCATTTAAAATCATAATTCCTAGGTTATGTAAACAAGAAAGGACTGTTGTCCTTGTCTGGTTGTGTGGATGCCTTGTATAAGAACAGAACTACTGTATAAGCCTGGACTTTACACTCAGTATAGACTTGAGTTGCACATAATTAGGAGATACACCGACTCACAGTGTTTTGAAATTGAAGGTAATATTACAGAATTATAATAGCTGTGAGTTTCATATAATAGTTCAAGCTGTATGTGCTAAACACAGTAGGTTTACCTCCATTCTACCATGACTGCTTTATGAACAATATCAGTTGGAACTCTTTCTTCTTAACATATCAATACTTGATGAGGTCTCGCATTCCAATCTCAAGTGGTATCGCCCGAAATGGGGTGATGGTAGATTAAACCGTCAATAACTCACATCCGGTTCAGTAATAATAAATAACGTTTTCTTTATTCACTGTATTAATCACCCATCATTAACTGAATTTTCAAAAAAACTTGGTGCACAGTTTAAAATTCATACATAAACCATTACTTACGCGAATAATGGCAGCGACTTATGACCTTGACCTAGTTTTGGAAGTAATTGTTTACCGTGACGTGGCAATTGGAAATTTGAAAAGGTGCAACAGGAGAGGTTCTGACAGTTTGTACGAGGGTACCCTGGTGGTATGACTTGAGACATCTGATAATTGGCACCTTGCAAAATTGAAGAATAGAGGCGCTTTTGATGTGATGAGGAGTCTCTGTGGTATGAATTTAGAGGCTGCATTTTTGTGTCCTCTCAACTTTACGATTTCACATGCTTCTTCATCTGCACGCAACAGAAGGTTCACTGTGGTGGCTCTTACACGGTGATTTGTGCTCAAAGTTGATTCTACGGATATCATTTTTCATCATTTTGAAAAGTGTGTTGCGACCTTGTGGCTTCTCAAGGCTTTCCTTCGGTGTTCGATGTTAATGCGTGCTCCGTTACTCGGTCAGGGTCAGTGTCATCACTAATATCTGACAAAACACTTAAATGGAAATTATGTAACAAATAATAGCCTGATCAATTTTGGCATAATATGGAATCAACGTAAACATATTTGTCTTGCTGAATTTTATTTTTGGAAAGCAGAAGATGTTTTAGGATTGTTCAACTGAATATTTGTTTCTATGCTCGAGAAGTAATTTTGTATGTTTTTCACCTGTTTATCTGATTAACACAAGTTTGGGCTCATCATTGTTAAGTCTATCTGCATTAGCAGATGTGTAATTTCTGACAGCAAAATCGCCATAAGCTATCGATGTATCTGTTGTTTGTTTTGTTTCCGCCATGCTGGTGGGCAGACGAAAATAGGGCATCACTGTAAACCATGTATAATTGCACACGGAAAATCAGAGACCTGTATAACGTGATTATATACCTCTGAATGACTTTAATTAGACAATCACAATCAAGTATTTACTTAAGTCATGGTAGAAGTTTACTTGTCACTTTATTTTTATTTTTACAGCCTTTATTTTTTACGGTGACATCAGATATTATAATGAAGGTTATGATGAATGACTAAAAGCTGGCTGAACATTTTGTCGTGACAGTACTTATGAAGCTTCTGATACTAGAATTGGAAAGTTGGTAATAAGTTTTTGAATTTATACTTGAATATGAAATATAATTGTTATTAAATTTGAATGGGATCATTTTTATCTAACTGACAGTGAATTTGTTGCCTGGCTCTATTAAGTCTTATCTCAATTTAAACTTGATGCCAACTTTAGAGCTCTTGCAAGATTGGTGCCACCTTGCGACAGTCAGGAAGTAGATGTGAAGCTGTTTACAATCACAGTATTTCATGTATTGAATTGTGGGGATTGACATTATTGGACTTGTTTCTTTATGTTGTACATGGCCTTGAAATATGTCTGGACTTACAGCTGACAGTTTGCAGGGACGCACCAAGAATGATGGTGGAGTGTGAGTCATCACTGTTCTTGCTACAACTCACTTTTCATAGTATAAAGATGACCAACCACATCCACAGACTTTGATAAATATATGTCTGTCCCTGCTGTTCAGTGTTTGTAAGAAAACTCTAAAATGATATTTACTATTATATTGGCCTGTTAATATGGTTGCTGTTTGCGCTACGACCAGTTTACCATCACACTGATTAAAGAGAATTGGGTTCGGCTGTCCGAGTGTACAGGAGGCTTGTTGTTCATGGCTGATTTATGGACCTGAGGGTGCTATCAGGATGAAATCTTAAAGACAGATGGTGTATCACTCTGTGTAGAAGGAATTTCTCACTGAAGATTATGTGGTCGATGTTGTCGAACTGTTATTGAACAGTTCTGGAAAGATTCATGAACTGTACAGGTTCTTATTTTACTAGCAGGTCATGAAATAATGAACACAAAAAGGTCATGAGAAAATTGTTAACATTGTGAAAATGTTCATAAAAAGTTTTACTGTCAATAGAGTTGGCAAACTCTCCTTTAAATGAACTTAAACACCAAATCAACAAACACTGATTGATATACTTTTTTTCAAAGAGGATGTTCATTTTGACAAATTCAGTGGTTTTTTTACATGTTTATTGAGTGAACCACTGTATGTAATACAACGTGACTTCTTCCCGATCATATAACATCAAGAGTGTATGTGCAAGATCTCATGTGTCTCAAGTGACTCCTTGAGACAGTTGGCAGGAACACCTCCACCTGTCAAATCCTCGGTCCCTTCGACACATCTGGTGTTCTAGGCTGAACACGATAACTGAGGACTGCTCTTGTAAAAATACAGTAAAAGATTAAACATAATCTTTTTTGGGTAACCCATGCAAAAATGCTCATCATTATTTCTTAGAGTGTTTATTATACAACCAACATAGAAAGATCACAGAAAGAAAACGATTCCATTTGTCTTCTCTCTATACACCTTTTGTATTATAGCATTTCCCTTAAACTGTCAATATTCCTCTGTGTCTGCTTCCCACGATTGCTTGTGCAGAAATTTGTTATTATAGATATTTTTGGAGAAGGGTAATAACAGTTTTGTTGTGTTGTTTGTTTTTGTTTTGTTTGTTTGTTGTTTTGTGTGGGGTTTATTTTGGGGGGGGGGTATTCATATATTTTTTAGGTACAAAACCATGACATCAAATAGCAGTCAAATATAACCATGAGTCTGTATACAGAGTATGGCAAGCATATTATAACAAATGACATTGTAGGAAAAAATGGGTTGGTTGTACGTTAGTATCAATCAAAAAATTGATGAAAATCTGACCAAACTCCAACAAATTTGTTGAAATTGCAAGAAGAGATGGCATGTGTTCTCTCGATATTGTAAACTTTACATAGTTCATTTCTGATCATATCAAAAATTGGTGTACAAGTATATGTTCTTATTTTAACGAGAGTAAATTTGACAACTGTTATCAGGAGATTTAAGGACATCGTTCCTTTTTTCAGAGAATCCAAATATGATTTTCTTCTTATCAATATTCAATGTGATATCTGTTTTTGGTTTTATCAAATTAGAAAATTGATTCCATATGTGTCTAGATTTCGGACAGGTTATAAATGTTGTAAGAACTAGTTCCTGATCCTTTTCACTTTGTGAATAAATATGTTTACATGAAACTACCTCTTTGAAATGTGTGGTACCTGAGTCCCATACATGCTTGCAAGATGCCAGTAGGTTGCATCAATTATACATGATGATGAAGAGGAGGAGGATAGACATGTACATTGGACTGCTTTCGTTGTCAGCTGTGTATATTATGAATGTGTGTATAAAACAATTCCTGTTTACGGGCTTGACTGATAGGTAGGTTGTTGGCCATACGAGGCTGCTTGTGCTTATATCATCACTTCAGTTTTTATATATTTTTTGTTCTCATGACAACAACTTTATTGAAAATGAGGGTAGTGCTTGTTCCAGAAGCATTGCTTGGAGACCGTAAAGTATTTCTTGATGAAACTTGCTGTACAGATCAGCCTTCCCTTGAACTGGTGCCATTGGAAGATCATTAGTTTTTAATGAACTGTAGGTATAATTCAATGTGATGTACCAAACGTAGGGTATAAGTATGAATACACGACATGTTTGATGGATAACAACTTCTTTTTTTATTCTTTACACAATGTTTCAGAGCTAATTCTTGCTCCTTCATCAGGTAAATGCTGAGTCAGTACAGTGAGTGAATATATATAGATAAATGCCTTCCAAAAACTTCAGGGTATAAGTAGCCAAGTTCAATTTCCAAATTGCACCAGATAGGGAGGACATGTCCTCTACTGATGACTTTTGTTTGTGAAGACCATGTTCGGGTTGTTTTTTGTCGCTTTTATTTATTAGTGATGTTGTGTTTGGCATCATGAAAATTCATCTGAACAATGACAGCATGGACTACGCCATACAGATGGAAATATGGAAGGGGAACATTGGGGGCGCTCTGCAGATCGCCACAGACAGAGAGGAGCTGTCCGACTGGCTGGTGGGCCTGGCGCCTCTTGGTAAGTTTTGTCTGCTTACTTTCCAGTCCTGGGTTTGGTCTCAAGCTCATTTAGGGCAGTGGGTAGCCTAGTGGTTAAGGCTCGCCATCACACCAAGGACCTGCTAGATTCCCACATGGGGTCAATGCTAAGCCCATTTCTGGTGTTTCGCTTTCTCTCTCTTCCTCTCTCTCTTTCCCCCCCACCTCACACACACACCGTGATATTGCTGGAATATTGCTAGAAGAGGCGTAAACTAAACTTACTCACTCAAGGTCATTAGGGATTCTACTAACTTGATAGATTCAAGAATCCCAGGTCTTGATACTTCACGAACATTCATGAGTAGAATCACTCCTTGACAATTTGTTTTGCTCATGGTATCAACCACTGCTTATGACTTGATTTGTCTTGGGGTGGTGGGCTAGCCTAGTGGTTAAAGCGTTCGCTTGTCGAACCAGGGACCCAGGTTTGATTCCCCACATGGGTACAATGTGTGAAGCCCTCGGTGACCCTTGCTGTGATGTTGTTGGAATATTGCTGAAAGCGGCGTAAAACTAAACTCACTCACTGATTAGTATCACAGCTGTCATTATAAAGCTTGATACTGCTGACCGAGGCATAAGACAATCATTATCCAATTTTTCCAGAAATGAAAAATATAGTTTCTTTATGCCCATTTGTTTTCATTGAATACTGTGCACAGGCATGACATAGGTTCACTGGGATGGACATTACTAGTGCCAGAAGTGTCAGTTGGTCTATTTTCCAATTTTCATATACAATTGTCAGAACATTTTCCACTGAAATAAAGCTCATTGGATTCTATCTCTCAGAATTCCTGGATGCTCCTTTATTCAACTCTGAGCATACAACCTTTGTTAATAAAATCTCAAGAATTTGTCAACAAATTGTTTTGCCCTTGTCAAACCAAAATATGTATCAGTTGTTGTCAACAGTTACTGTGATAAACTGTTGACATCTTGTCATCAATATTTTCACTATTTCAAACTTGTTTTTGACCCTGTCTGATCATGCCATCCATTTGTTTACCTTTCTCTACCAATGTAGGGGGCAGTGGGGAAGCCTAGTGATTAAAGTGTTCGTTCATAACGCCGTCACCTGGGGACAACTTGTGAAGCCCATTTCTGGTGTCCCCTGGCGGGATATTGCTGCATTATTGTTAACAGCGGCGTATAAAACCATACTCACTCATTCACCCACCCTACCAATATGAGACACTGGGGATTCTCACCTGGAATCCTTCAACCCACTTGGAATACTTGCAATCTCAATAATTTGTTAATGAATTGTTTTGGCCTTGCCAAACCATAATATTTATCAGTTGTTGTCAACAGTTAGTTGATACACTGTTGACATCTTGTCATTTCCTATTTCAAACTTGTTTTGGCCTTGTCTGTTTAGTTGACAAGACAGTCAAGTCTGTGTTTTGAGTAGCAGTTGAAGTATATTTGGTGTTTAGCTCAGCACTTTGCACATAGAATTCAACATTATTCCAGTTGTATGACTTCAGTCTGGACCAGACAATCCAGTGATTGATACTGTTATGTGCAACAACCCGAGCCAATGGGACTGGATGTCATGTCATACAAGTGTAGCAACAAATAAACCCATTATAATTGAAAAGGAGCCCCAGTAAGATGTGAAGTTCAGAACCTGAACCTGAGGAAATCTAGACTTGCTTCATTTACAGTCCATTTCATTTCAGTTGAGACCAGTGAAATGCTGACTACCACAAAATCTAATAATTGCAACAAAACCAAATTTTGCACAGTCACATGAAATCGACAGGTACAAATCCAAAATTTGAAGCGAAAGTTTCCTGATATGTTGACAAAGACACAACCAATATTATTGTTTGTATGGGCTTACTTGTATTGTTATGATGTCATGAATCATGAAGAATGAGGGAGAGACTTTAATCTCCAATGCAAGGTTAAACCACATCTCAACTTGAGATAATCAGAATTTTAATAAATTCTCTACTTTAAACACAATAACAATCATGTTTCAGTTTGCCTGCCAAGGGCACTGTGAACACAAATCCTGGTGTTATTATCCACTTTCCCTAGATATTGCCATGTGCACCATGGGATTGTGTGGTGCAGTCTGATTGGTCGTAAAATATTATAGGGGATTTAAAGTTCGTAAACAGTATGACTTTTCTATATGAAATAATTCATTTTGTATCATCTGTTTTGTTCTCGATGCAATTTTTTAAACTTGCATTCCTCATGGCAATCTGAATATTATTTTATGGAAACCTTTCAAATTTGATTTGATTAATATTGATCTGAACATTTTATGGGTTGATTCCCCCTGCCTTCTGTTAACCAGGTACTTCTGTTGTTGTGGGAACATTTTACCTTATTTATTGTATGCTAGGGCGGGGGATGAACCTATTGGCTATAGCGTTCCCACGTCACACTGGAGACCCGGGTTCGATTCCCCACATGGGTACAATGTGTGAAGCCCATTTCTGGTGTCACCTGGTGTGATATTGCTGGAATATTGCTGAAAGCGGCGTAAAACTAAACTCTCTGTTGTATGTTAACTCATTGATGCTGTGGCAAATCAGCAACAATCCAGAGAAGAGAGTCCTGTTACATTTACTGAGGACAGGTTTTGTTCAATGTTTATAGACATTGTTTTCAGATTTGCTTGAGACTTTGGCTGTATGGATATTTAAACATTTGAAATTTCCAAGCTTCAAATGCTCCATCAACCCATGTAAGAGGCAACTAATGGGATCAGATGGTCAGGCTTGCTGACTTGGTTGACACATGTCATCATATCCCTACTGCGTAGATCCATGCTCATGATGTTGATCACTGGATTGTCTGGCCCAGCCTTGATTATGTACAGACCGTCGCCATATAGCTGGAATATTGTTGAGTGCAGCTTTAGACAACAAACAAACAAACAAACAACCCTAAACATGTCATAAAAATATTTGCAAATTAAACTATGTTGAAATTGTAGCTGTTTCAAATGTAAATACAATAATCTGTTACGTAAAGTACAACGAAATGAACAAGACCCATTTATGTTTGTGGTACGTCCGTCACAGAGGATGTAATAGGTATGTACTGGCCTTGAGCCATCTGAAGACTCTGATGAAGTACTTCAATGACCTGTATATTGATTCTGAAGGTCTGATAACATGATGCTCTTGGATGAGTGCATTCAGGAAGATTGTGTCTTTTGAAGCTGTAAACGAGCCTAATACAGATCTAGCCATGCAGTGTACACTTACTGTTTCATTTTCTTAATTCTGCTAATCTGAGGAAGTATCACCGTCTCTTTTCATGATGTCCAGTCCTTTAGCTGGAGTACACAAAGGTGTGTGTTTCGTGAATATGTTTGAAAGAACAAATGAGTACAATGATTGTCAATCAAAGAATATATATGCAGTGATGAACTATAGACATGATTATTTGGTGTTCTTGATTACCCCATATGATACACAATATACAACATGCAAGTCATCAAAAGATTAAACTTTTCTAGAGACTTTTCTAACTTCAAGAAACCCTTTAATTTAAAATACAACACAAGTAAAATATATTAATGACAGTGTGGTGTTTGGTTCTCATTCAGATATCTATTAGACTCACTGCTCAATGTTAAGTTTCTTAAAGTGTGATAATTTCCCAGTCAAGTTTAGAGGTATTGGGGTAGCCGATTGGTTGTACTCTTTGCTCGCCACATCGGAAGGTAGCTGTGGGGTAGCCGATCGAAGGTTGTACTGTTGTCTTTGCTCATCACATCGAAGGGGCTGTGGGTAGCCGAATCGGTTGTACTCTTTGCTCACTCACATCGTAGGGGCGGTGGGGTAGCCGATTGGTTGTACTCTTTTCTCGTCACATCGAAAGGGGCAGTGGGGTAGCCGATTGGTTGTACTCTTTGCTCATCACATCGAAGGGTAGCCGATTGGTTGTACTCTTTGCTCATCACATCGAAGGGGGTGGTGGGGTAGCCGATGGGTTGTACTCTTTGCTCATCATATCGAAGGGGTAGCAGATGGGTTGTACTCTTTGCTCATCACATCGAAGGGGTAGCCGATTGGTTGTACTCTTTGCTCATCACATCGAAGGGGTAGCCGATTAGTTGTACTCTTTGCTCATCACATCGAAGGGGTAGCCGATTGGTTGTACTCTTTGCTCATCACATCGAAGGGGTAGCCGATTGGTTGTACTCTTTGCTCATCACATCGAAGGGGTAGCCGATTGGTTGTACTCTTTGCTCATCACATCAAAGGGGTAGTAGCCTAGTGGTTAAAGAGTTCGCTCGTCATGCAGAAGACATTGGTTCAATTCCCTTCATAAGTGCAATGTATGAAGCCCATGTCAGGTGTCCCCGATGTGATATTGCTTGAATATTGCTAAAAGCTGCATAAAACGATATCTATTTTCTCACTCACTCGTCACATCGAGGACCTGGGGTCGATTCTCCACATGGGTACAATGTGTGTGATACAATGTGTGTGATACACCTGAGATATTGTTGATGATCACCAACATTCACTGGCACACTTCTAGATACATGTTTGCTCTCTCTATTGGATTTGTTTGATAAGTTGGACTTGCAACTAAGGAGAAAGGTGATTGTACCACTTGCTCCTCGTTACACTTGAAGCTGATCGTGAAAATCCGAGTTAGAATTGGTCTTAAGCAACCCCTGCTTGTCGTAAAAGGCGACAAACGGGATCGGGTGGTCAGGCTCATGTAGTTGTATCGTAATTGCATAGATCGATGCTCATGCTGTTGATCACTGGATTATGTACAGATCGCTGCCATTTAGCTGAAATATGGCTGAGTGAGGCGTTAAACAGCAAACCAAAAAGCCAACTTGAAGCTAACAGAACAGTCACACCCCTTTAACACCCTTGCCTTGATCCACCAGTGTGCGGGGCGGTGGGGTAGCCTAATGGTTAAAGCGTTGGCTCATCACGCCAAAGACCCGGGTTCGAATCCTCACATGGGCACAATGCGTGAAGCCCATTTCTGGTGTCCCCCGCCATGATGTTGCTGGAATATTGCTAAAAGTGGCGTAAAACCAAACTCAGTCAGTCAGTCCACCAGTGTGCATTCCTACATCACTTCAGGCTTCACATCACACACACGTTCAAGACTGTTAAATCAGGCTTAAACCTAGCTCACTCACTCACTTCAGAACACAAAACTGAATCAACTCACAAAACATGAAGAACATGAAACAATAACACTTAGAGAGAATCTCATCCCAGAACTGACTAATTCTTGTTCATTCATTCCTCTTTAGGGAGTTTTTGTTCCATCTGACATTCTTCAACAATCCTTTTGTCAATAGTTTCTTGTGCCAACAGGTTTCAAGAACTCCTTTTAAACATCCGCACAGCGTTTGCACATGTGTTGTATTTTAGCTGACTCTATATTCCCATCGTGTGTGTTATACAGAATCAACATGAAATATATTGATATGCTTGTTTGGCTTTGTGTGTGGAAGTAAAACACAGTTTATTGTGTGTGTTTTTAAACATCACACAAAAAGGTGATTGTTGTGAAAATGTATTATTTTTTGCTGTTGCCATGGGAACAGGGAAGAATATAACCTGATATGCACGATAGGCTGATTGTTCTCAAAGAAGAACTCCGTTTGACTTGAAGTATTTACATACATCTCCTGGCATAATGCCTTTGACTTTCAGAAATCTTTAAAATCCATTTTTAGGACAATCAAGCAAACATGTATAAATGTGAACAAAAGCAATCTTTTCCATCACATATCGTATTTTTGTATAAAAATTCCCAAAATTCTTTGTTTAAAAAACTAGAATGTATTTTGAATTTATTTACAATTTTGGCATTGTGTGGGGTTATTAGAAATATTTTGGGAATTTGGGGGATATGGAATGGAAAGTACCCAGATGAATCCTTTGAAATAGGTGAAATTACTAATTTCTAGTATGCAGTCACAGAGATAATACCCCAAGGATTTCATACCATATTAGATTTCCACACACTCTTTTGAGATTATTGACCAGGGTCTGATGTTTTGACAGATTTCATACTGTTAAGTTGTTTTTTCAACAGATCTTGAAGTTTATGGGGCTACCGATGACCACTGGCATTAGTCTCAGTGGACAGCTCCCATTTGTTTTATGGAGTGTTACAGCAATCAGCTTTCCCACTCAGAAGGGATTTGGGGTGATATCAAACTCAATTTAGATAATGAGAAATGTTGAGGAAAGATGGAATTCATCAGAGTGTCACCAAACTGGGCTTGGGGTGGTCCTGGAAGCCAAAGGCACTGGAGTCACCCTTGAAAGTTGTGTCCCTTTGTAGTTTCAGGATAAACTGATCATCAGTCAAGTGGATCCCTTGTTTGTTATCGATATACCTAAGAGTACCCAACAATGTCTGCAGTTGTGTCATCTTACAGGCGCGTAGGTAGCCAATTATTTCGTGTAAGCCCATAGGTTGCAAAGTTTTATATTTAGATATTAATGAGGGCTTGCCCAACCTTTTTAGCAACAATCATGTGTAAGACCTGACTTTTTTTTATAATGGTAGTATGCCTTCCACGGGTACTCAAGTACTCGAGCACAAGTCGGGTTCAGCTGGGTTCGAGTTCATTTTCTAGGACTCGAGGACTCGATTTCCCGGAGGAAATTCTTATGCATCCAAACGTTCTCAAAATGAATATATACACAATTCGCAAAAATATACACAATAATTACATGCACAAAACGAATGCTGGTTACACACATATACACAATAAAACTGACATGATACAATACAGTTAACCACATAGGTAAAGAGGCTGAATAATTCTAGTAGTAATCATGATGATGATTCAAAATTCACGAATATTTGATGGTATGAAAGACTGTCAAACTCTGTTTGTTTTGAGGCAAGGTAATCAAAAGCGTCTAGAAGGAAGTAGTTCAAAATGGTGAGATAAGTTATAAGAAGTATCAAATCTAATTTTAGCTGCCTTTTTGACAATATGGCGCTCATAGGTAAAGGGAATATACTCAAAAGAGTCTCCAGCAATTTTGCTGGCAGTATTAACAATTTTGAAAAAAGGTGTATTTTTCGTTGCGAGCAAAACATAGCAACACACCAACAAAGAAAATTGTAGGTCAACACCCTTTTAATAAAGGTTTGATTAAAAAAAACAACGGTCATTATGGTTTTGTCACTAGAAACGTTACCTAAGCAGCGAAGGAAATATGTCGTGTTGCACCTTTTTTGTAAATGTGATGGATATGTTTTGAAAATGGAAGTTTTCAATCTGAAATGACGTGACCCGTGAAGATCGGGGTAGAATAGGTCTTCAGCAACCCATGCTTGCCACAAAAGGCGACTATGCTTGTCGTAAGAGGCGACTAACGGGATCGGGTGGTCAGGCTCGCAGACTTGGTTGACACATGTCATCGGTTCCCAATTACGCAGATTGATGCTCATGCTGTTGATCACTGGATTGTCTGGTCCAGACTTGATTATTTCCAGACTGCCGCCATATAGCTGGAATATTGCTGAGTGCGGCGTAAAAGTAAACTCACTCACTCACTGAAGTGACGTCGACATATTTGTTTATGGCCCACAACCATCAGGAACATCCTCAGTCATGAGCTCTGATAACTCCACTCTACTCACTGATCGTGAGAAGATCTTGGAAAGATGGGAAGAGCACTTCAACTCCGTCCTCAACAGACCTTCATTCATCAATGATGAAGCCATAGCTCGCCTTCCGCAAATCACTATAAATGAGACCATGGACACAACACCCTCCACTGGAGAAGTAAGAAGGAAATCAAGCATCTTTCATGTGGCAAATGCCCAAGCTCAGATGCTATCCCAGCAGAAATATACAAAGCTGGTGGAGAAACTCTGATACAACAACTACTGGAACTGAGTGCATCTTGCTGGAGCAAGGGTGAACTACCGCAAGAATTCAAGGACGCATCAGTTGTTCACATATACAAGAGAAAGGGAAACACACATGTCTGTGACAATCACAGGGGCATCTCCCCTTCTGAGCATAGCGGGAAAGATTCTCACAAGAGTCCTACTAAACCATCTCATCCTGCACCTCGAAGATGGCCTGTTACCAGAAAGCCAATGTGGTTTCCGAGCTAATAGAAGTACTGCAAACATGGTGTTTGCAGCCCGACAATTACAGGAAAAGTGCCAAGAACAGTACCAAGACTTATACACAACATTTGTGGGCCTGACAAAAGCATTCCACACTGTCAGCCCGGGCTTTTTTATATAATGGTAGCTACCTGTTTCTCGCGCCTGCCTTAGTACCTCCTCCCACATCTGACAAACCATTAGAGTCGAGTACTGTCGAAAACAGCATTTAGCACACTTCATTACTACTCACAAACTTATTCAAAGGCCTTATGAGGCTGTGAAATGCTTCTAGTTACTTATGTGGTATCTGACAGGGTTAGAAACTGTGATCTGATTGTTCCAGCTGTACGTCTGTATGGCATCTGTAGAGGCTATGGACCCCAACATTCTGGCATCCATGGAGGCTACAGACTGTGATGGATCTCTTTATCCCAGCTGTACTTCTGTATGGTATCTGTTGAGACTCTAGACCATGACTTGTTTATTCCAGCTGTACTTCTGTATGGTATCTGTTGAGACTCTAGACCATGACTTGTTTATTCCAGCTGTACTTCTGTATGGTATCTGTTGAGACTCTAGACCATGACTTGTTTGTTCCAGCTGTACTTCTGTATGGTATCTGTTGAGACTCTAGACCATGACTTGTTTGTTCCAGCTGTACTTCTGTATGGTATCTGTGGACACTGTAGACCATGACTTGTTTGTTCCAGCTTCCTACGACACGTGGCTGGGGATGTTGTGAGGAGTAATCGCATGACTTGTTTGTTCCAGCAGCTGGAAGGCGAGGGCGACGGTCAGTATCACAAGGCCACCTCCTACCTGCTGGCCTGTCACAAGGTGTACGAAGCCATCGACCTCTTCAAGCGGCACCGACTCTTCAAGTAAGTCAATCACACCTATAGTACTTTGACAAGTGTCTATGACTAGGCCTTTAGTGATTCTGGAGTACTGTAGTTTAGTGTGGGATATGATTGCCTATCTTGGTCATAGAGTTCAGACCAATCGTAGGACTTTTTCAATAGGGATTGAGAGGCGAATGTGTGTGCAAAGTTTCCTTGTCATTAGAGCCAGTGTTTTTATGTCCAAAGTCCATCTTCATCAGAGGGTTCCCAATACATTGAGTTTGCTGTGTGAGGATTGACTCATATTGACATTAGGTTCAGGACCTTTATGAGGTGTCTCAGGATTGTTGAATGAGTTACCTATGGCCGTATTTGTGTCATTTAGCCTTTCAAGATGCTGTGATCCATGATTTGAGATTGGAGCACCATCATTACCCTCAGTTCCAACATTTTCATCATTATATCACTGAACGGATCATAGATTCAAATCATTGTTCTCCTCTGTGTCCACCATAGTTGTTCAGCACTATCTCCAGGCTCCTAAACCAAAAATGCATTCAATGTCTCAGACCAGTATCACCTCGTCTTCCTAAAGGAAGGAAGCTCACTCTTTCACTTTCCGTTCATACACTCACATACCCACACACGCATGCATGCACACACAATCAAACAGAAGGCAGACTTCTTCCTGTATGTTTCATATTTATGGTTCTGAAATGCCTTTTGATAGTTCCATGTGCCCTTTAACAGACCCAGAGGACATCTTTATGCTTACATGTTCCATGCATCAGCCAAAGCACAACTCTTTGATGCTTTGACATTATTCTTGCTTTGCTTCCGTTTTTAAAAAAGAGCAAACATGACTGGAGATTGATTTGACTGTGGGCCCTGCTGTATCTGCCCGATCAACTTCCACCATACATGAGCCTGTCTTATCATATTACAGTATTGTGTTGTGTAGATTGCCAGGCTTGTGTAATCACCTTGATGGACGAGGTGTTATCTGTCTGTGTCAACACAAGTAATCTGGTCACCCAGTATGTGGGGCATTATCTGCCCTACTTAGGATAATCCTCCACAGTCTCTGTGTCAACAACAGGCACATGACGCCTCACGACAGCCACACGAACAAAAGGAATATTTTCCATATTTAATTATAATTTATTTTTAAGAAAGCATATATTCAGTGATTGATACATTTATTCATTCAGCTCACATGCTCACTCATTGGTTCAATCTTCATTCATTCATCTTTGTATTCCATGCAAGCAATTATTGGTTCAGTCCTCTGTGGTTGCATCTGTTCATTCATTCATTTATTTATTTAGTCATTCATTCATTCTATGCATTCAGTGATTGGTTTATTCCTCTGTGGTTCCATCTGTTCTTTCATTCAATCATTTATTCATTTATCTGTGTATTCCATGCACTCAATTATTAGTATAATCCTCCTCATCCACATAAGGGGACGGTGGGGTAGCCTAATGGTTAAAGCGTTGTCTCGTCATTCATTCATTCATTCATTCATTCAAGTATCCATGCACTCAATCATTGGTTCAATTCTCTGGGTGGTCAAATTCAATCATTCCATTATTCCATTCACTCAGTCATTGGTTCAGTTGTCTTCATGGTTATATTCATTCATTCAACCCTCTGTGGTGTGAGGATAGACTAGTTCCTTTTCATCCATATTCTTCTATGAGAACTGTTGCAATGTGGATGTGAGCAAGTTGACTGTGTCAGGGTCGTTGCGTGTTGCTTGTTGCACATACCCTAGCTTGCATGGCTGATGACAGTCTTCTGTGATATGGGTGCAATATTAATGTCTGGTGCAGTCACTCACTAACTTATGCCTTCATTCGTTAATTTGTGTTGTGGTGGGTTGGCCAACTGGTGAAAGAGTTTCTTCATCATGCTGAAGACCCAGGTTCAATTGCCCCGGATACAATGTTTGAATCCCATTTCTGGGGTCCCTCAGCTAGAATATTGTTAAAAGAGATGTAAAACCTGACTCACTCATTATTTTTTTGTTTATTCCTGAATTCTTTCATTTTTAGGATCAGAAATTCATATTAACGCTCAAGTTCAATTAGTGTTGTTTTGAATGTAAAACCCTGATACACTGTAGAAACAATTTATGTGATCTTTTCTCAAGGACAGATTCCAGAATTGTGTCGATAGATTGATATTGTCCTGACAACTTGCAGAGATGTGTGTCACTTTGGCAACAAAAACAACACAAATTAGGTTAATACCACCCACAGTGCATTGATACGCTCAATACAGACTTCCTGTTAAGCTAGACTTGAAAAACAATTTGCTTCAGTGTCAACAATGTGAACATTTGTTAGTTAAGAAGGATGATAATTTTATGGATATACAACTTCTTTATTCTGTTAAAGGCGACATTTCGACATAGATTCTGACAACGACATTAGAATCTATGTCGGAATGTCACCTTTCACGGAATAAAGAAGTTGCATATCCAAAAAATTATCATTCTTCATCACCTCAACAACCCGTGAAGATCCAGGGTAGAATAGGTCTTCAGCAACCCATGCTTGCCGCAAAAGGCTGGATGTAACTATGCTTGCCGTCAAGAGTCCTATTAACGGGATCGGGTGGTCAGGCTCCTGACTTGGTGCAGGACACATGTCATCACTTCCCAATTGTGGAGCCTCATGGGGATCAATGCTCATGCTGTTGATCAGATGGATTGTCTGGTCCAGACTCGATTATTTCCAGACTGCCTCCATAGAGCAGCAGGAATATTGCTGAGCCTCAGGGCTTAAAGAAACTAAACTCTCACTGGATTGGATGATGACCCATTCTGGAGCCTCAGGGATAGATGCCCCATACAAATGAGTGTGTTGAGGATTGGGCAGCTGATGTGGATTGGATGATGACCCATTGTGGAGCCTCAGGATAGATGCCCTTACAATGAGTGTGAGGATGTGGGCAGCTAGATGTGGATTGGATGATGACCCATTGTGGAGCCTCAGGGATAGATGCCCCTTACAATGAGTGTTGAGGATGTGGGCAGCTAGATGTGGATTGGATGATGACCCATTGTGGAGCCTCAGGGATAGATGCCCCTTACAATGAGTGTGAGGATGTGGGCAGCTAGATGTGGATTGGATGATGACCCATTGTGGAGCCTCAGGGATAGATGCCCCTTACAATGAGTGTGAGGATGTGGGCAGCTAGATGTGGATTGGATGATGACCCATTGTGGAGCTTCAGGGATAGATGCCCCTTACAATGAGTGTTGAGGATGTGGGCAGCTAGATGTGGATTGGATGGCCACAGCAGTTAATGGGCATTATTGGGATGAGTGTCAAATGTTGTTTGATAAATTAGTTTGTTTCAGGGATGATCAGTGTTAATATTTGGCGCATCACTACATGCATCAAGACTCCTGTGATGTTCCATTGAGATTAAGAAGCAATTTAGGTGACTGGGTGTCAAGGTCTGTGAGTTAGTTCATACATGTCCTTGGAACCACTGTGGCAGACATCAATGCTCATTATGTCAGATTGGTATATGTTTTTGCTTGTCAAGATCATGATCAGATTATCAAGACAGCTTCCATAGGTTATGACAGTAGACCTTGTAAGGTTATGGTTGCCTGATAAGAAGATTTTTCTGGAGGTTTCTCATCTAATGATGAGGGCTTCCTAAGGTTGTCATGGTCTAATCAAGAAGAGTTCTTTATGATATGGTTGTAAAACAAATGAGTTCGTAAGGTTATGGTGGTATTGTCAAAAATACTTCTCACGGATATCGGTTGGTCTAATCAAGAATTCTTCTTAGGATATGGGCCTCCTTTCACAAAGCACTAAGGTGATCGTAAGTCACTAAGGTAACCTTAGTGCAATGTGAAAGAATGGGAGTTAAGGTTAACCTTTAGTAAAGGTTGCTTCATGAAAGGAGCCCCTGGTAGTCTAATCAAGAATTCTTATGGATATGGGGGCATTGGGGTAGCCTAGTGGTTACAGCGTTTGTTTGTCTTGCTGAATACCCGGGTTTGATTCCCCACATGGGTACAATGCGTGAAGCCCATTTTCTAGTGTCCCCCGCCGTGATATTGCTGGAATCTTGCTGAAAGCAGCGTAAAACTAAACTCACTCACTCTTACGGCTTCTTACGGATATGGTGGTCAAATCAAGAAGATTACTTATGATGTGATACAATAATCAAGGTGACCTCACTCACTGTTTAATGAGAGATGACTTAATAATGAAAATTAATCAAACAATATTTGTAAAGTTGTTTGTGCAGATATGTTTACTATATATTGTCTCATGACTGTGTGTCGTGAACTTTATCTTGGCAGGGAGGCTGTGGCACTAGCTCGTATGAGGTTGTCTCCCCTTGACCCAGTGTTGGAGGACCTGTACATGGAGTGGGCTCAGATGTTGATGAAGGACGGCAACTACGAACAGGCTGCCAAGTGGTGAGGGTGAAGTGTTGTCAAAGGACTTAAGGGGATCTGGCAAAGTAGCCACATTTGTCCATTAAATCTGCAAGGGGGCCATTTTTACGTTCTCTGTATTCATTAGCATCCTTGATCTGTTCATCTGTTTGATACCTTGGGGAGATTCTGTGTAGAATCAGTCTCGTGTACTAGATGTATATAAATGCATGTGTACATGTTAATTGTTTTGGGAGATGCAGCAGCTGGACTGTGTACAAACCCTCAGTAATGAGGCTTTGAATACTGTGTTGCTTAGAAAGTGTAGAACCTCATAGAATCCATTATTATCGTATTTGTTAGATGGAATTGACCAGTTGTCAAAGTTTCCAAAATTAAATGATAAGAATTTTATCCCATTTCTTTCTACCCATGTCCACCAGTGAAGATCTGGGTTAGAATTGATCTTCAGTAACCCATGCTTGTCATAAGAGGTGACTAACGGGATCGGGTGGTCATGCTAGCTGACTTGGTGGACACATGTCATCATATCACAATTGCATAGATCGATGCTCATGCTGTTGATCACTGGATTGTCTGGTCCAGACACAATTATTTACAGATCACCACCATGTAGCTGGAATATTGTGTGGCGTAGAACTGAACTCACTCACTCACTCACTCACCCTCTCACTGAACCAATGTCAAATCATCCATGATATAAATGAAATTCCTACCTCTCTCCAATTCTTAATCTTTGGTTTCAGCTACCTAGCTATGAAACAGATCCAGGATGCTGCCAATCTGTTGACCAAGAGAACTGACCAATCGTCTCTCAAGACAGCCACTCACATGACTCTGTTAGCCAATGAAAAGCCTCAGGGATTTCTGTATGCCCATAGATTGGTTCATCAGTTCATTGCCAAGGATGACTGGAAGCAGGGCTACAAGTTCCTGAAGGAACATGAAACACTGAAGGTTGGTACAGCACCATCACCAGCATTGTCCCCATCCTCTGTGATGGTGAATCATTGTTACAAATAGTTGTGTTGTGGGAATAAACTTACCATACACTCCGTCTCAAAACTTGCTGAGTATTATTGATACTGTCCTGTTGATTGAATTCCTTTCGCTGACAGTAAAGTCCAACTGACAAAGTCTCAGCATCCAAAATAGTTTGCTGACATCTTCATCCAATAAAGACGTGGTATCACTATGAAAAATTGATATTTGTGCACTTTCAACCAAGCAACTTGAGATTACCTGATCTGTATATGTCCTGTGCTGATTAGTAGCATGCTGTGTTGTATGTTTGATCTACATTCTGCCGCTAGATGTTGCTGCCGTTCCTCAGCATGCACGAGTTGCTGGTCCGGGAGCTGCAGTCCGTCACGCCGGGGACGCTGAAGGAGGTGGACCCCACCTGCTTCACAGAGTGGGGGGAGGTGCAAGCTGGGAAGGGTTTCATTCCAGGTGAGATATTCAGACATACCTTCACCAAACTGCAAATCATTACTGGGAAGTCTATTATAAGTATAACTGTAGGACTGACTGTCTTCATCTCAAGACATGCATAAGACTTGTCTTATATTAACTAATTATGAATGTGTGTGGACAGTAGTATCTGAACTGGTACTTTTCCTATGTATCATTACACCCGTGAAGATCTGGTTACAATTGGTCTTCAGTAACCCATGCTTGTCATAAGAGGCGACTAACAAGATCGGGTGGTCAGGCTCGCTGACTTGGTTGACACATGTCATCGTATCCCAATTGTGTAGAACAGTGCTCATGCTGTTGATCGCTGGATTGTCTGGTCCAGACTTGATTATTTACAGACCGCCACCATACAGCTGGAATATTGCTGATTGTGGCGTTAAACAACAAACAAACCAACCAACCCATGTATCATTAGATCAGAGACTCTCAACTTCTGCTGTGACCTGACCATGTATGTTTGAACCATGTTGTGGGTGATTGTTCACTCTATCAACCACTTGTTTATGTGATCCTGGCTCAATTGCTGCTTGCTGGTATATAGTTAGGGCTGGGAATGTTAAACCAGCACTTCCATCATTAATTATAATTATGGTTGACCATAAACTAATGTCTCCAGAGATTTATGTATTTCAAAGAAGAGACTCTAAAATCATTTTTCAAAAGCTCTGCTGTCAACAGTTATGGCTGTTTGATTTACTGAAATGAAATGGAAAAAAACTCATCGATTTTCATCAGCGCCTTTCATTAGACAGCTCATGGAATATAAACAAACTGATCTGAAAATAATGTTGACCTTTAATTGTTCTTGTTTAAAATAAAATGAATTTTTCAATGATTTTCAGATTTCATCCTTGATGTAGCTGAATGTGATCCTGTGTTGCCATGGAAGCCCTACATGGTTGGAGAGCACTCATTCCCACACCACGTACTGAAGGTCTGGTCCGGTAACCTTGACATTGGCATGGACTCTGAGAGCCTCACTCTGACATACAGGACTCTCCAGCAACTGCAGTCAGGGAGACAGAGTCACATCGACCCCCAGCAGGTAACGGAGGATGTCCAGCTGCATGCTCATACTGAAATGAAAAACTTCCCGTTTTTTTTTAAACAAATGTTCATTTCTAGACTTGCTTCCTATACTTCATGAGTGATGAAGATTACTTAGGGATAGAAGGTGGATCAGTAGTGTGTTGGTTGAAGAGGAAGATAACGTGGATCAGGCTCTTTGATCTGGCCGCTGTAATTAATGGTAATCAGGCCCCAGTGACCTGGATCTTAACTCATTGATGCAGTCATCATCAGTCACAGTGGACTTATTCTTTGTCTCTTGGACAGAGCCAGATAACTCCATATAAATGGTCCCATTGAGGTGGCAGATGCAGCCTGAACCTGAGGAAACTCTAGACATGCTTCATGTAGGGGTCGTGGTGTAGTCTAGTGGTGAAAGTGTTTGCTGAAGACCCGGGTTTGATCCCCTACATGGGTGCAATATGCCCACTTCTGGTGTCCCCCACCGTGATATTGCTGGAATATTGCTAAAAGCTGCATAAAAACTAAACTCACTCACTCATTAACTCATTAAGGATTTTAGCAGTGCAGATGGATGAAAGGGGAAATTTCTGTCCCAATGTGAATCTGAGAAGGGAAATATGATGACATCGGCAATATATTAGCAGACTGGTTTTTGTGACTGTGTACAATGTAATATGACTGAGAAAACCAGGACCTCATTTCACAAAGCGATCAAACTATCGATCTGCAACTATTATCTTACCTTCATGTAAAATACTTAGTTTAATTTCATTGGTCAATGACGCTTTAACAAGTTTCTGTGTCCTCCCCTCCCAGGAGGGTGACAACTGGAAAAAATATTATCTGCTGCCACGGTAACCGCAAAACTCTCCGCCGGGAAGCTATTGCTAATAATGGTATGACGTCATAATATGACGCATGCAGTGCACAGAGTTAAAAAAAACATTCGATTAGCTGTTTTTGAGTTCACTATGTACACATTTATTTTACCAACTTTCACTGCTTTGTTTAAACTATTATATACATTGAATCGTTTGCACACTCAACTTAAACATAATAAACCATGTTTACTGCAGTTTTAAGCTTATGAGAATATGTTTCACTGATTTTAAAAATCCAGTCGAGAGGCAGACAAAATGGCTGTAGTACCCTCGAGAGAAGCATACAACTTATATTGTAACTCATATACTTTAACATATATTTATGATGGTCGTAGCAACTCAAAACAGGGACCTGCCCTCAGAGACTACATCAGTTTCCACTTACTCCAGTGACCTGACTGATGGTTTGCTGGAAAATGAAATCATTGACAAAATTATTCTGACGGAATTACCTTGAAAAATTACGAAATTTCTTTTTTTTCCTCTATGGTAGTTCAGCCTGTTACTGGTCTCATGTTATCTATCTGAAGAGAATCTGGTTCAGTTCAAAGATAGCGACACTATCTGTTTCATGACATGAAAAGTCAGAAAATGTTAATAAAAGTCAGGATTAATAATCAGAATCAGAATTTCCCATGACTGATGATGTCTGTTTTGACACAAAATCTGCTGTAACTTCTCCAGCCTTCCTAGACTGTGTGTGTTGGGGGCACCGTGGCCCTGTTGTTGAAGGTACAATGATTTCACTGATTCGCTGTGCATACTTGTGTCCCTTGGGCTCACAAGATACCCACGATTCAGTGCTGCAGCCAGACTGTGTAATTGCGGGATTCCTGCTAATTGTACTTACCATGGCACTTCATTGTATGCGCAAAAATGGTGCAAATTTATTATTTTTAGCGCCTTTTCGTATATTGGGAGCGTAATTAATTTCAAAATACGACTATTTTCTTTGAAAGCTGTGTCAAACATTCGGAAATCAGAATCAAAATATTGAACTTCTGGAATTCTATACGAGGCTTCCTAAACTCTGCACATTGCTAGTATGTCTATTTGCATACGAAACTGTAATATGAATGACTGTAAAGAGCTCGTTTCCCTGTATGAAGCTCATGAGTTTATCATCAAATCTTTTGGGCTGTCAAAATGTCAAAGAGAAGGATGACCGAAAGAAAGAAATACCACACGTCAGCAACAATGAACACTTTTGGTAAGTGGCCAACATTATCTAAAGGTAGGCTCTATATCCTGGCTGCACCACTGATGATTGAAGGTTTGAATGTTATTTTTTAGGTTTGTCCAAGCCATATCAGTGCTTGGTGGTAACTGGTTAAGACCTGAATCATTTGGGGTTTTCTTCCCACAGTGACGCCCATTTCTGGTAGCAATGCCCATTTTTGGTGTCCCCCGCCGTGATGTTGCTGGAATATTGCTAAAAGCGGCGTAAAACCAAACTCACTCACTCACTCCCACAGTGACCCCTCATTCAGAAACTGTCAATGTCAGAAACCATTAAATTGTCAGTGTGTTCAGATTTGACCTGTAGAGTAGCTCTGTGTTGATCAAACATGTGATCCTGAGGTTTCCAATCAGCTGTTTCAACCAGTGTCAGAATTAAATTGGTTAAAGTTTCAGCAACTGCACTACCTAATATAGGAAATCAAGGACAAATGTTTCCAGTTTCGCCATCAGAAACACCATCAATGATAACTGAGTCACAACATCCCAGTACTTGACAGGATGATTTGATGAAATCTATTATCCACAACTTCATCATTGACTATCCAATCATGACCTTGAAACCCTCACCCTGAGGAAGCACAAATAACAATGGTGAACTAAATCTGTCAAATCAATCTGCAAGCGGGTTGTTTTAACCTGCTAGCCAATCCAGGATATGCCAGGATCCTGGATCCTGGTAACATCTCTGTACTTGGCACAGCAGGGCCAATCCATACAAAGCCCCATCAGTTCCATGTTACAATTACCTTGCCAGGGGAGAGGAGCGATCAATTCCATCCCCCTCAGAACTCTTGACCTGTCTGTGATTGAACATGGTCACACTACTAGGTTGTAATTACAGATAACCGACAAGTGTTGCTGCTGAGTTTTCAGACCCCTAGGCAGTAACAGTGACAGTGTAGGGCTTTGATGGAAACTCATATTTCTTGTCCGTCAGTGTATGGAGATTAATGTGTTGCCACGTCATGGTGGTCATGCTGGTCAGTTTGTTGGGGCAGGGAATCAAGGCCATTGGTTTCCGTTTGAACTGTGCGAATGATCTCCATTTGTTTTTAATTATAGCACAAGGCATCATTTTGTCATGCTGTGTGGTTGAATGTGTAGAAAGGATGTGATTATTTAGACTTTGTACCTTTGTGACTTGTTGTGATGGTCTGGCTGTAGAGGATCGTTATATGCTGTAAGATTAGTTTGTGTTTTTGTCAACTTTCTGAAGAGAATGCTGAGTGTGGCATAAAACTAAACTCACTCACTCACTCACTCACTCACTCACTCCTCCTCCACTCACTCCTCCTCACTCACTCACTCACTCACTCACTCACTCCCAAAACTCAACTCACTCACTCCTCACTCACTCACTCACTCACCCACTCTGAAGAGAAGTGCGGTGGGGCCTTAACTCACACGCTGAAGACCGGGGTTGAATCCCCACATGGGCACCAATTTCTGGTGTCCCCCCGCCCGTGATGTTGCTGGAATATTAAAAGCGTAGCGTGAAAACTAAAACTCAGTCAGTCAGTCAGTCTGAAGAGAAGTGAAAGCATTTTTATTTTGAGCCTGAGCAGATTTTGTAGTAAACAACTTAAGTCTCACTCACTCACTCACCCATTCACTCATGCATTCACTCACCCACCCACCCACATTCTCACTCACTCGTATAGGTTAATGCAGCTCAAGACAAATGAAGAGGCGGTGGGGTAGCCTAATGGTTAAAGCGTTGGCTCGTCATGCCGAAGACCCGGGTTCGAATCCCCACATGGGTACAATGTGTGAAGCCCATTTCTGGTGTCCCCCGCCGTGATGTTGCTGGAATATTGCTAAAAGCGCGTAAAACCAAACTCAGTCAGTCAGTCAAGACAAATGAGCCATGCCAACATAACCCAACTGTATGATTTATTGCAAGCCCTTTTTTTCTGACTTGATCAGTCAATCAATCATCTCTAATTTTTCAGTATTGTAGACCATTGGCCATGATATGATACCTGTACAAGGACTTAGGGTGCAAGTTTGTTTCCAATCCACATTTGCTTTATATGTGTACATAGATAATCTTTTTACGATGTAGTAGCTGGACTATAAACTTGTGTGATGTAGCATACATACGGTATTTTGGTGCCATAAATTGTGCGCCAAGATCACCATATGTTTTGAGGTTCTTGGGAGGCATTAGAAGTTGGTATTCAAGTATAAGACAAAATATTATGGACATCAACTTCTTGTTTATTGTAAGCATATATATCCTGTATATGTGCACATGTTAGTTAGCACTCACCTGATGAAGGAGCAAGGAAAAGCCCAGAAAGGTTGTGTATACAAATTAAAGAAGTTGACATCCATAATATTTTGTCTTATACCATATGTTCTGCAGTTCAAAATACATTGATAACCATCTTTCATGTAGTTCCTTTTCCAAATATAACTACTTCCATCATCTCTCTTTTCTTCAGTAAAGCTTTCTGGTTCAATTTAACAGTAATGGGAACTGCCTTTAAACAGTGCCATTACATTTCTAAGATTACATGTTAGAGCATGCATATAGTGCTCAGTAGTGAAGTATAATTTATACAGAGCACAACCACATGTGAGTCTGTGTTATCAGTTACCTGAACATGCCAATCCTGTTTGTATGATAGTTTCAATCTTAGAAAACATTCTGACAAAAATGTGTATTTGGAACCAAATGTTGTTCGCATAGATAACCAGAACCTGAAGATAATAATGACTGTGTAACTTTCAAGACCCAAGTTTACCTCTGTGCTGCATTAAGTAATTAAATTTTTAAACTTATCCTATCTCACGGTATGCACCTCTCTTGTTCTTGTACGAGGCTAAGTGTGTGTTGATTTTCCGAAACGTGCTGAGGCAAAGTTGAATCAAACTGGCCAGATTCTGGCCTCTGACCCCTGACCTCTGCCCCACTCCATAGCAGGACCTGTCAATCATCTCAATAAGCGTGCAGATCGCTTCGATGATCACCTGACAGTCTGCCCTTGTCATTCTCGTCTTGGAGCTTCCAGTAATCTGTGATGTGGGGCAGGTCTGTGGGTATCCATCGCGTGAGATAGGATAAGTATATAAATATACAATTTATGTTAAAATTTCCAAATTTTTAAACTCATCCTATCTCACGGTATGCATCATCCCATGGTTGGGGGGCGGGCCGCAGAATACACTGTGTCAACTCATTGTTTTTTTTATTTCTTATTTTGAATCAGAATGTTGACATGTTGCTTAATAGAAACAGTCTGCAAAAGTCTTGTATCGATCCACATGTTTTTGCTGGGGTTTTCAGACCACACAACTTAGTTTATGGGTGACAGAACTATTGTTTTGCACACCTATGCCCTTCATTCCTCTCCAGACTATCAGTATCCTTGTGGTTGTTACAGTTGATGTTCCAAGTGTGCATGGACCTGACGTTGTCGCTGCTGGCCGTGCTGCTGGGCGAGACCTCCTCTGCCATCAACCACCTACTACACGGAGTGTCCACTCTGCACACTGTGGGTCAGCTTGACCTCATGGAGGCTGTGTGTCAGCTGATGCTGCCCTTGGGTGAGTCCACATCATGGGTCCACACATCATGGGTCTACATCATGGTTCGCTCGACATCATGGGTCTTCTCATTATAGGTCCACATCATGGCACTGAAAATTGAAGACAATGATTAGCACTGTTAAGACCTTTTATGCCAGTTGTGTTTGAATTCAAACGTAGGTACAGTGACAGTAGTATATTGCTATGGGACAGCTTAATGTTCCATAGATCACCCTTGTGTATTACTGGCACATTGGGAGATGCTCACCTGACATCATTTACACGTGTCACCTCTGTTGCTACTGTTATGTTATGTTATATCTTCATTGACCAGACCTATGTGACAAAAATAAGGTTTATAAGATTTTTTTTCAGCATGATGTTGTATATCCAGATTGGTTACATATGGAGAAACCATGATTGCTGAAATGACTTTGTTATTGTTGAATGTCATCAGTGGTTTCTGTTGTTTCTCTGTCCAGGTCCCAAGTACCTGCTGAAGCTGCAGCAGGAAGCCACAGCACTGCGAGTCCTCATCAGCATGGAGGCCCACCTGGAGGTGGAGGGGTCGGGGAAGGCACCCTCACTCAAACGCTACCTCACCGAGATCAAGGAGGATGACAGTGTGTCCACCTCGGGGCTTCGCTGTCGAGAACTGGACTGCCTCCGTGCCTACTACTACCTTGCGATCCTGCATTACTTGAAGAACACCATCAGGGAGGATTCCCTGGCTCAGGGTCAGGCTGCCGAAGCATCAGTAGATGATGACTGCAAGGTCCAGGCAAATGTGGATCTTGAGCAGTTGACTGTTAAGGAGTCCGATAATCCACTTGAAGGTGAAGGTCAGTCTGTATCAGGTCAAGACAAAGACCAGTGTGTTGTTCCTTGTCAGAGTCAGGATTTATCCAATGTTAAAAGTGAAAGTGAACCAGCAATACCAAGTGATGATCAGGGTCAGTGTGTTGTGCAAGGTCAAGGTCAGTCGGTTTCAGTTGGTCAAGGTCAGACAGATATTCCAAGTGATTCCAAAGAGGTTTCTAATGAAGTAGGCAAGGCTGTGGCCAGCAGTGAGAAGGATGTAAGTGACTTGGAGCTAGCAAGTGGGACGGATGCTGAGGGTGCCCAAGGAGGGCAAAGTGCCTTGGATAAGGATTCCATTCCATCTGAAAGCGATGACCAAAGTAATGTATCCAAAAAGTGCCAAACTGCTGACACTGTTCAGTTGTTATCAATCACCAAACTTAAACAGATATCCAGAGGCCTACTGTGGGACATACAGGCCAAAAAACATTCTCTGACAGAGACTCTTGGCTACATCCATAAAGCCATCTCTAAACACCTGCTGGCAGATAAATCCAAGGACTACCAATCAAGTGGATTCAAACGAGTACCTCAACAAGCTGCTGGAGGAGAGAACAGTAACAGTCTCATCAACGGGTTCACCAGTGGAGGGGATGACACCGAGAACACAGGATCAAGTCAGGCTGTTGATGGAGCAAGTGCTCAGGCAGCATCGCCATCATCACCATCATCAGCACATTTCACTGTTCCTAATGGACTCAAGGATGGTCTTGCTGCAGCAGGTACTGTGGCCAGTCTCTGCAACCCTGTTGATCCATCAGACATTGAGTTAGTGTCCTTTTCTGGAACAGAAACTTTTGCCAAGTCTCGGAAGGTTCTCTGGGAAGATGAACCACACAGTTGTGAGAATGTTGACTCGCGACCGAGGAAGGCCAGCTGTGTGTTGAATCCAGCCAAGTACATCAATGTGCCAGATGAGTGGTATGGCATGCCCGTAGACGAGAAGTATTTCAGGCCCTATGTTACCATGGCAGTACTGAAGGAAGAGCAGGAGTATGTGATGCACGAACTGAAGCGGGTGCCAGACAGCTCTGTGGTGAGTACACTGAGATAAACTTCTCATATGATCTTGCTTTTTATTTTTGAGCAATGCTAAACTGAGTGTTACAAGCAACAGGCATCAGGAGTGATTGAGTTTAACCTGGGAGGGATATGTCTTCAACTTGATTTGTTTCTTGGAAAGGTTCATCAAACCAGTTGAAAAATCTGTTACAATGTCAGGTTTCAAGGACTATGAATTTGGTTTGATAGAAGTTTGATGATTATTAGAAAACATTTTCTCAACTGGCATTGCCTGCGTGGTCATCTTTGAATGATCATATCACGTTAATGTGTGTTGAGGATCAATTTGACTGTATGAGCATTTGATTGAGAGACTTGTTTTGTATCCTGATAAACACGTACCAGTAGGCAGCGAGAAATATATGTATGTTCAGGACTTTATAGTTCAGATTTCTATGGACCATGCTGTATGTTTTTCATGAACATCATTAATTTCTATTTCAGGTATCTTTTCCTAACCCATTTGACAGCGTGAAGGTGTTGTTGGACGTGTGTCGCCTTTGTCCGCACCTAGACGGAGACTCAAAGAATGCATTCAATAACCTGCTTGTCCTCTGGGCTCTGCACTTTGCCGTCACATCACATCAGCGTAGGGAGCTCAGCAAGCTCATCAAATGTTCGCCAGAAAAAGAGAGTCAAGTTTAAATTCAAGTTTTCTTATCAGTATCGACCAGTGTCACATTCTAACGAGACACCAATATCATGTGTGTGGTATAATGAGCATTATTTGTCAACATTGATGACTATTCAGAGCATGTATGTCAAGAAAACTTACCTTAATCCAAAATTGCAAAGGAATCTTAGACCTGATCCCAATAATGTCATGATATCTGTCATGATAAATGTCATGTGTTCTGTGATGAGAAATTATCAAACACACGATAAACATCAATGAAACAGTGAATGTACAGTGTCCTGGTGATCCGACCATACTAGAGGATTGCGGTCACATATCCACAGTGTAGGTAGCTGCCAGACGTACACAGAAGCTGGTACACGCTTGAACTGTTCTGTTTATCCTCAACTATCCAAGCATCTGTCCATTGTATTATGATAAATACCCGAGACCCATTCTCCACCTTAGCTTCAGAACTGACATTATCATTTTAGTTCCTTTGTCACTGACTTTGTCCAGAATTGATCTTGCTCTTTGGCTTCAAATTGAAAATAGATTGCCTCCTCTTAATACTTTTTTCAGCATATATCTACTTCCAAACGTGTGACCTTGTGCTTGCCCTCAATAAAATTGATGGAATCAGAAGAGATCTGAAGACTTCAAATCTGATTTAAATTGAGTTCAGGGTATTTATCGTAAGATTGGAAATACTCCAGATTTTCAAGGATGAGTTTTGTTCTAAGCATATACTGTTTCATGTAGGTCAGACCTTTCTTTTTTAATATCATCTGCTTCTAAATCCAGGAATGTAACCAAGCACCAGACTTTACATAATGTATTGAATGAAGTGGTCTGTATCGATATACAGATACACAGGTTGTCTTGTTTCGTGTAGCAGTCTAGAGCCCACAAGTCATAATGTGGTACATCTTTCATCTTTTGACCAAGCTAGCTGTGTTATGTTACCCCATATAGCCATAATAAGCCTCACTTCGATCTTCAACCTTGTAGTTGGCTTGATTGACACTGCAGTGAGCAATATTTCAGCAGCATCTCAACTGACTGTAGACACAGCAAACCAGTGGTTGAAAGCATAAGCACCAATCAGTGCTTTCTGAGTTTGATTACATGTAATCAGCTATGTCATCAGGGCCTGGCACCTGGTCCTGTTTAATCTGCTTGTACAACCAGTATGTAATACTATGGACCTCGGGGATCCAACAGCAAGGACAGGTAACTCTATATATCCCAACATTCTGTTTCATGGTCAGTCTGCTGCCATTGCTGTTGACCAAGAGACCCTTTTGTTCTTCTGTGTATCTAGTGTATTAGGTTTTATCAGGCAAACAAATTTCAGCACATCCAAACCTCGGGTAGGTAGGGTTTGTTTTTTACATGTTCATTTCTTTGAAAGATATTACTTGCAGGATATCCATGAAGCAGCTCCAAATTAAGATAATGACTGGCTTGTGCGTGGATAAGTGGAACACATTTGTGCTAGTGACTTTAAATACAAACAGAAAGTGTGAACTGGTCAGGGTCTACCGATTACAGTTTTGGTCTGGAAACAAACACATTGAGGAGGGACCTCAACAATGGCACCAGTACAAATGATTTCCCCCTGTTTCAGTTAAGAATGAATGACTTACAGAGTCCACTACTGTAGTGATCCACTATCCTACAGTACTGCGTCGGCGGGGATAATTCATGCACGAGAGACACACGGGTAATTTGGAGGATGACATTTGTTTGTTGTCGACCTGCCAAGGACACTACTGTCGTGCCTGATGTGAATGGCATTGTTGATTTGATTGTTTTATTGTTTGTTCTGTAATTATGAATGACATAATCATGAGATGTTCTTCCCTGTTGTCTCTGGGTCTGGCTGCCCTTGTGTAAATTCAGACCCAATAATGTGGGTAGTCACTCCACAGCTGCTTGTCTGATGTCCTCATGTCTCATTGCCTCAGTCGTTATCTCCCTATAATAGTATATTGACATTTTTCTGAGACATTGCCAGAATCAGCCAGTATTTAACTCTGAGAGTCTCACCAAAATTATAATAGTCGGTAAATAAGCACCATACCAAGTCTTAAAGTTTTCACCCAAGTCATTCACATCTCTCCTGTCTCTCTCAAAGCTGGCCTCTTATTTTAAATAGCAAAAAGTTACATTCAACTGACTTACTTACCTCCAGTGGGCCTAGTGGTTAAAGCATTTGCTCGTCACGCTGAAGACCCAGGTTTGATTCCTGACATGGGTGCAATGTGTGAAACTCATTTCTGGTGTCCCCCGCCGTGATGTTGCTGAAATATTGCTAAAAGCGGCGTAAAACCATACTCACTTACCTCCAATGAAGGTCTTTAGGATATCACAATCTCAGTGGTTTTCACAACTTTAGCTTGCTCTTGGGACAACAAAGACATTCAATATATGAACCATTAATGTAATTAGGTCAACCAAATTTTCATGAAATGTTTGTATTAAAGACATTTGTGATCAACAGGCTTGAGCATTGAGGGTGCCCAAGGGCACATTTTCCTATTCTAAGCCCATTTCAGTACATCAGTCCTTAGTGACATGTGGAAATTTCCAAGAACACATATTAAGCAAAAATTTTGTTTTAGACATGGATAGTAATATCGGGACACACATTCATTTTAGACCATTCTTGGAGCAACTGTCAGTAATAAATAGTACGAAAAGCATTCTTGCAAGTTTCAAGAGCAGACGTCCAATCTTTGACATGTTTTAGTGTGCTTCCTCTGCCCTGGTCAACAAACAAGGTGGACAGGAAATTGACTAGTTAGTATGCTTCTTCACCTTGAGCACAGACTTCCATTCTTGGTCATAAGTAGATAGACTTGTTCAATGGATCAAGCACAGCTGATTCTGTCCGGTTGATGGGAAAGACTATCTGCCATGGGTTTGACGCCTCAGTAAGCTCAGGTAAGCCATTTACTGCTGAGTGACCAACAGAGGATACATCTGATTTCAAGCAGGGGGCGATCTGCTGTATGTTCTCTGTTCATTAAAAACTAAATAATGTTTGTTTCTTAGATGTGTGTTTCTGAATATTTGACTGAGAGAAATAGTTTATTAAAGTGTCAGAAGTTTTTTTTTGTTTAAAAAACTGACATCCTTCCATCAGGTTTCTCACAAGATACTGAGCTGGTTTGTTGTTTAATGCCGTTACTCAGCAATATTCCAGCTATATGGCTGTACAAGACACTAAGACAGTTGGCACTAACACTAAAGTATACAATATGACTACATGTTTACTTGCCATATTTACAGTTGTCATTTATTACACATATTTGACAAAGTAAATGCTGGAAGTTTCAGAACGATGGAGTTCTAAAAATTCATGAGACTCAAATAGCTGTGGTAAAATAGCTGTTTGAAAAAATTCAAACTGAAGCCTAGCTACAGGTTTGTGAAAGCTGTAGAGCTTCTGCCTAGGTTATGAAAGCTGTGGTGTTGCAGCCTAGGTTTATGAAGACTCATCTACTATCAACTGCAGAACCACTGTGGCAGCCATATTTGAAACATTTAATGAAATATATGATGATGAAATAAATTAGACCGATTTAATCAACTATGGAAATAGAAGATTTCTGAATATTTGTTATCAAATCAAATTCCAAGGGACTGAGTGAAGAGCCATGTTGGTGTAAATCAAGGGAGACAACTCTTAAAGCCATGGAGAAGTAAATGATGAGATGCTGCCTCTAACAGCACCGAGGCCTTAAGAAAAGTGCACAATATGAGAGTCCTTAGAGGAACTGGGTGTACTAAGGATGTTTTTAAACATTGTACTTGATGTAAATATGTATGGTCCTCTACAGAAGGAATATATCAGGTGATTTTGTTCATTTTCATGTGAAAGAAGTGTTAAGCCTTTCTTGTGAAATTTATGTATGTATCCAAATTGTGTTTTGTTTCTTTTCAAATGTTTTGTTGATTTGTGCATCAAAGTGCTATGCTAGTTGTGATATTTTTTTGTGGAGATTACCTTTTTTGCCGTTTCCAACGTAGTGTTTCATGTGTTGACCTTGATGTGAAATTTGCTGACCTTGACATTGTCAGTTTGAGCTTCTGTCTACAGCTCTGTCTGTTCATTATCTGCCAGCACTGGATTTAACATTTCTTCTACCCTGCTGAGCGTATCAATAGATATTTACACATTTGGAATATGTATTGGTCAGGATTAGGAGGCAATAACTTTAACAAAAGTATCTGTGACCATTGGAAATGCTGTTTTGAAGTTTCTTTTCTTCAATTTCCAACCAAAGGTGACATGGTTTTCGGTTGGAAACTTAATATTGACACAATGTCTTTTTTGCCAGAAAATATTATGAAACTTGACTTCAGAACATTTTCACTTAAGTGTTAAACCACTCAGTGAAGGTGAACTTCTGTACCTGTTTTGGTTATGTTTATGCCAGTTTTGTTGAAAATATTCAATTCTGGAATAAAATATGTTTGAATTCAGTATGTGTTGCTTTCAAAAAAATTCATGAAGACAAAAGAAAAGATGACGATATAAATACATGATATTCATAGGGAACAAGTTTATCAAAATCAGTTTACTTTTTTTCACATGACATTATTTTGTATCCACCAAAGAGCTTGATCATTTCCGTGTTACAGATGCATTTCATAATTATTGTTTCATGTGTAGATTGTCAATCACAGCTCATGACTTAAATAGAGCAGAGCCAATGTTTCAAGGTCAAGAATGGGCAGGAAAACATCATTGTGTCATTGAAGGCATGTGCATTCACCTGTTGACATTTTCACCCAGCTTTGACTTTATGTAATCTTTGCCTCAAAATGTTTTGAAGAGATCAAAGCATTGCCTCCTGTTTTCTGCTTGTGTTGACATTGCATTGCCGATGAACATGAAATGGGAAAATATTTCTGTGTCACTGTTGTTTGAATAAGTAAAAATACAAGATTTATGATTGTTAAATTTGTGAATAAAGAAAATTACTGATAATGGGTTATTTTGTATTTGTTTAAGAAATTGATCTCTTTGTGTGCACATGTGAGGGATGGTAAAACCAGCTATATCACAGACACTTGTAGACAAGTGTAGAACAGACCAACCAGTGGGTGATAGCATGAGCATCATCCTACACTATTGAGGTACAACGACACACAGTCAACCAAGGCTGACCAGAGAATAGAATTAAGAAGCTTATAATGCAAGGCATAGGTTTCTAGGGATTCTTGGAGGTTTAGCAATGAAACTTCCTGTGGTTGTCGTGACAGGTAACAAGTGGGTTGTATTGATTAATCTGGGGTTTTGCTGTGCTTGTGTGTCATTTTATCATCCAAAACTGTTCCACAGGAGATATTGCCTGTGTGAGATCATACGATATCTCCTAGGAGATATCATTTTGACAGTAGATTTTGAACAATGCTATGACGTCATGAACTTGATGACATCACAATGCTATGACATCACTGCACTGCAAGTCTCATGGCAGAACCGTGTTCAGAGATATACATGTTTCATTGAAAACTAATGAAGAGTGATTTTGGATGATAAACATAGAATCTCACCCTCGTGTCTTCTGATATGAAATATATCAACACTGGTTGATAAAAGTAAAAATATCCTCGGCAATATACCCAAACAGCATGGATGTAAGTTGTTTGGTCAGGCCACTATCAGAATCAATGTGTACCCTCCCAGGCAGGATGAATGTTGTGAAGAGTCTACTCTCATCAGTCTGTTCCAGTGTATGTCCTGGATATTTTTGTGTGGGATACCATGCCATGACAGCTGTGTTTTGCTCACGCTGTCAATCACTTGTTTTCCTTGTCACAGTTACAGGCTGGTTCATGATAGCTTGACTTGTTGACTTCATCAACCAATGTGTACCACTACAGTCCATAAGGCTGTTATGATGAGATTATGCAACTGGTGAGTGAGTATGGTTTTACAAGGCGTTTAGCAATATTCAAGCAATATCACTGAGGGGCACACCAGAAACGGGTTTCACACATTGTACCCATGTGGGGAATCTAACCCAGGTCTTCAGCGTGAGGAGCGGATGCTTTAACCATTAGGCTACCCCACCGCCCCTACGCAACTGGACAAGCTGCCCAGGATGAATTACCAGATAGTGTCCTGAGCGTTTGGTCAAGCTGGTCCCTGAGGGATGCATCACGTCCTGGATGGGTGTTCTCTGATGCATCATTTGTCTTTATCATGAAATGAACATATGGCAAGAATTAAGTTCTGATGTTAATGAGATTGACAACGACTCAAAATGTCACCAGATCCACAGCAACCTGCACTGATCGAACGTCAGACTTCGTGTCATGACCGATACGTCAAGACCTAGACTAACGCGTAGTCTCTGAATATATATAATTTTGATAATAACAAACAAACCAATTTAAATTGAAAAGGAGTTTAGGGATACCAGAGATTCAGAACCTTAGGAAATCTAGACTCGCTTTATTAGGGCTTTAGCATTGCAGATAGGGCTTGGCAGTAGGGAAAATAATGTGGTTCAGGGACTGTGAGACAGACTACTCAAGACCGGGACAATGCTCGTAATACTATAGTTACTGGGTTCTCTGTCCCAGACTCGATTCCCGCTTTCATATTATATAGTTATACAATTAACAGAACAATCTGGCGTGATTATATCTATCTTTGTATCTACAAACATCTTACGCCTTGTTCAGTAAAGTATATATCTTTCAGGATACCACAAGCCACGGCATCCATTAACTATGACTTGATAGTTTGAGTTTTGAAATCAACTACAGACATGAAATGCTGCATATCCATCCTTATTCTCCCGTGGTTTCAGGAACACCCACATAACCCATTACCATTATCATTAGATGTGGGGGTCCGCACTTACCTGAATCAGATCTCATATTAGTCCACATCATCGTCCACAACCACTGATCCATTACAGCCGCGTGAAGCTACAAGTGCCTGGCTTCTGAACATTTTCGAGCCTAACTGCGTTGCGTGCTAAACGGGCTTACAAAAGGCAGACAGCAGGATTGTGTGGATGAATGGACTAGTAATTTGTCCAGCCAAGACGCGTTACATCAGGGAGTCCTTTATAAACTCCCTGGCTGTAGTCAGGCATTCAAGTGGGTTTAGTAATGATGCGAATAACACTTAAATTACGCATTTTATGTACCACCTGTAATTATGGGTCGTTAATACGTTATTTGCTATCAAGGCCCCGTGGTGATAGAGTTGTATAGGCACATCAAGCCGACACACCGTCATATTACAACTGAAATAGTGTCCATTAGCCAAACTCTCACTGATTCGCATACATCTTTATAACGTACAGTAGACCGCATTTATAACGGTCTATTTTTTTATTTTTTTTGTGTGTGTCGGTTTATTTTGAGTTCCAGCGACTACTGTATAGTTTAGTCGAAATTCGTATAACGAACTACGGTTAAAACGAACTAAACTTAGTTTTAGTTCGTTATAAGCTTAGTTTATTGTGTGTTGTAGCTTTATGACATATACTGTATCACATTCGCACGAAATCTTAAAAAACCTTTTATTTTATTACATAGCAACAGTTCGGCATGGAAGATGCAATGACTGTAAAGTGCAAATTAGGTTGGTTTGTTAGTTTACACCGCACTGCTAATTCGAGGGGAATAATCGCCAAGTGATCTTACCTGCCGCCATATGTTGGGATGCTGGTAACGCTACCAGCATCACCTTAGGTACAGTGACTACTGGCGAGAGATACCGACCACTCAGATGTGTAAGGGATCTTGGTGGTGAGACAGTCATTGTAAACTCACTCGTCTCCTTCCACACGTAGTAAGAGACCCGTGAAGATCCGGGCTAGAATTGATCTTCAGTAACCCATGCTTGTCTTAAGAGGCGACTAACGGGATCGGGTGGTCAGGCTCGCTGACTTGGTTGACACATGTCATCATATTCCCATTGCACAGAACGATACTCATGATGTTGATCATTTAATTTAATCAATTTTGAACATAAATATTTGTGCTTGCATATGGGAAGGAGTCGGGTCACTGATTTTGTACATGACATGCAGGGGAGTCACTTACTTTGTACATAAATATTATCGGGTGTTATTCACATTTACATTCACCGTTAAAATCATCATCCCCCAAGCCATAAATTATGAACGGTCCCTAATATACGTTGTAGCAAACCCACTTTCATTCAGTCACTCATGGAAAGCAGTAATGACTGTTCCTAGATGTTATCACCTGTCGTTTGTGTTAAGCTGTAATGCTTTGCTCGTGCCAGATTCGATCAGTTGCAAGCGTGTGAATCATTTCACCACTCCTCAGTTTTGACAAACTTTCTCTCAGTTACATTCCATTTGTCATTCGACTGTGTTGTTAGTCTTTTTCAGCTAAGCTGTTTCATTAAAAAGGTTGGATCCTTTGTAAAGTGAACATTAGGCATTGAAAACATCATCTGTATAGAAATAAAAGTGGATACAACCATGTTGAAGTTACACCCACATGTATGCCATTGTAAACGACGGGTGTTCAAATTCCGATTCAAGGTACGGTCGTGTTAACCCCTTTACAGAAAAGAAGAACTCTCTTCTAAAAACGGACAGTGCTGTATAGTTCTGAATAAAAGAATAAGTCTGTGAGTTAAGTGCAACAGTGTCCACATTAGCATGCGCATAAGCCGAACAAACCCCACCTGACGTCGCCTCACCTTCCCTGTGACCTTGCGCACATTACCGTTGTAAGGCAATGTCAATAGCGTGACGTCACACGACAACTCAACGTGGTTCGGGTCGTAGCGGCCCAAACTACATAATGTGTTCGATGTTAGACTGTTTAGAAGACTGGATTTAGTACTGTTTCAAGACACAACATCAAGTTTCGATGTGTTGTTGCAGATGGAATTCAATGCTAAAATCTGAAACACTGATTGTAAAGGTCATATGTCATAACGTTATGAATTACGATGACCAATGGTGTTTAAAATAGATCATACATTTACCTCACATGACAAGGAAAAGTGCAGAAGTCATTTTGTACTAACGCGGGGCTTGGAAACCCCACCAGTTATTGTAACAGAACGGACGCTGGTTTTAGAATTGTTCTAGAAATGTTCAAATATCCAATATGGCTACCAAAGACAAGTCTCTTCTCCAAGATGGCAATGGTGACAGTGTTAATGTCGCCGTTACTAGCGACGACGTTGGCGGAGACACAGTACAAGGTGTATTTCAATATAACTTACAAACAGGAGACAACCAATGACACGCTGTGGTATGAAAGCGACAAGGGGAGATTCGTAGATGGCGTTACGTCGACAAGGTTGGAACCTGTGACTGGTATTGTCGTCCACGTTAAGACTGATGGTTGCGACCATTACAGTATGGCAGCTCCAGGCGTGAAGTGGGTGGCTTTGGTAGCCCATGGCCAGTGCCCATTTTCAGGGATGAGAGCCAAAGCTGAGGAATACAATGCCTCCGCCATTGTTGTCTATGGTAGCGGACCTGCCTGGAAGGAGATGTATGCCGTGGAACAT